TGGTTTATGGTTGCTCCCGGTCAGGCGCACCATGTCTCAGCAGCAATTGTGGCAGAAGACAAGTGGTTCTGGGTAGTCAGGAAGGGCCGCTCATGCTGGGAGATATGGGTAGGAGGGTTTCTCCATAGTGTTATAGTCTTTTTAGAGGAGGTGGGAGTATAGGGGGCCATGTACTCAGCCTAGGTGACCAGAGGGTCCGTCACAACAATATTTTACATTACGCGGTTAAAACTAATGGACCACTGCACCCAGGTGACTTCATTGAGATGAAGTGGTGTGTGTGACTATAGTGTTCCATGCCTTTGTAATATGGAATTATTCCAGTAGATGTCACTGTTTCTTTTAGAAAGTAAGTCCAAAAGCCATAATACATATATTAGATTTGGCATAAAATGTTTAACATATACTGTGCTATTCAGTTACCCAATTATTTTGATTAATTTTGAATTTCTCTTTGTCATGTGACATATTGTTGCAAATGATTGGCTGATTGTATAATACATTTTTTTATTATTTTTCATTATTCATTTCCTATATTAATATAAACTCAATCTTTACAAAGGCCATGGAGATTGAAACAGGGTCGAGTCTAATTTTTATGCCCGAATTAGTTACTTAGAACACATCCTCTGCTGTAGCCCAGTTAAATTTACTGAATGACGACAGCTGTTTGGAGCTCGGAATGTGGGTTCACGCTGCACCCCACTGGCCTTCCATGAGGTGCCAAGCATGTAACTCCATGTCATACACAGATTATCAGGGGAGGTTAATCCCTGCTTCCTAATCTAAACATTATAAAGTGAAGAAAAAAATATGAAAAGGATGAAAAGTAATATTAAAAAAAAAAAATCAATAAAAGTTGTTGGGTTTAGAAAACCCTGTTAAAAGGACATGTTTAGGTTTTCTGTCCCATTCATGTCACTTTGCTACTTTGCATCCATCGGAACTGTCTCATGTGAACACTCCATTTGAGGTGAGATTCCTGGCAAGAGGTAGTGGTGTCCAGCGCCACTAGCATACAGGGCCTGTGGACTGCAGAGAGGGCCAGATTAACGTAGAGGCTAATGAAGCTGAAGCTCAAGGCCCATGGAATAGGCCCATTGATTAAAATATTTATCTGTTTTACTACTCTTCACTCGCTTTTGCATTATAATGTTGTGAAGAGGGAATTAATTATGGAAACCTAGGAGGGATGCAGAGGAACACAACGTCTGTGGACTGTCTCAATATAAATTAGTTAAGGTAAAGCTGACTTTGCACACTGTGTAAATGCTGTTGCTGCTTCTGTCTCTCTAACAGTGCTGCACGTTCCCTTTCAGCTACACTCTCTACATCCACCTCTTTTTCTGTTCTAGACTGCAAACCAGGAGCTTCTGCTGCTAGTAGGACGATAAGAAGTGGAGTGGACAGTGAGTGTTGGAGAGAGAGGATTCGGAACTTGTGATTAGAAAGGAGATGCAAGCTGTGGGGCTGTTATGATGGACAAATAGACTGGGTTTAGAAATGAAACGAGACCTTAGGGTATCTGTATTCTTATAAATGCATCCTGTGAGTTTCCCTCTGGCACCACGTCCACCAGATAGAAGACACTTAGGAGGTATGACTGTTTTAGTTTTTTCTGTCCATAAGATTCTCTAATTAGGCACATCATACAGGTCAGCACCAGAGCCCAATTACATCTTCTTAATACAGGCCTGGCTGCAGGCTTGCAGATGAAAATGGCTGTATGACTTTGTTGACATTGACAGGGGCAGAACTACCGCCGGTTTGGCTGCACCGGGGCACGTCTTGGGGGCCTATCGGGTGGCCTCTGCACTAAGGGTCACACGATGGTATTACTACTAAACAGGGACCTGGTCAGGAACCGTGGCCTTTTTATAGCCTGACCAGCCCCTACAGTGTTGGCGATACTGTGAGGAATCCTGACAGGTACCTCCTAGGAAGGTCTCATCGGGGCCCCGGTCAGGTGCTGTGGCCCTTTGGCAGCACGACCGGCCCCTTTAATACGTGCAGAAAATGCTGGAAGGAAGTATCTGTCACTTCCTCTCAGCTTAAAGACTGCACAGGCTGGAGGAGACAGAGGGAGGAGAGAGCTCTGCAAGCTGTCAGCTGCAGACTCCCATCAGTTGCAGTCAGCCCAAGGAAGTCCCCTCCCTGCAACCACAAGGTATGGAAGCAGGGGGGTGATTAACAATATGTAAATTGCAATGTGTGCGTGGCAGTTTGTATCTGTTAGTGGCAGTGTGTATCTGTCTGTGTGTGTGTGTATCTGTGCCAGTGTGTTCGAGTAGATATGTGTATCTTTATGTGTCAATGTGTATGTATCTGTGAGTGTTGGTTTGTCAATGTTTATCTCTGTGTGTATGCCAGTGTATATGCCTAGGCATGTGTTTGTGTATTTGTTTATCTTTGTGTGTGCCACACACACACAGACATACATACATACAGTGTATGTACGTATGTGTGTGTGTGTGTTTTAGGTATATGTTTGTAAATGTACCAGTGTGTGTATATGCCTGTGTAGGTATATGTTTGTATCTGTGTGCCAGTGTATGTATGTAGTTATGTGTATGTGTGCCAGTGTATGTATGTAGGTATGTGTGTGTCTGTGTGCCAGTGTATGTATGTAGGTATGTGTGAGGCATGCAGCAGATATGCTCAATATTATCTAGTCCTGGATTAGGCTACTGGGATGTTTTCAGTGGACTAGAGTATGTGGGGTGAAACAGGCTGACAGATTATGATAATTGTGTATGATATCACTGGATGTTGTTACACATGACTATGGAGGGAGATGAGGTCATGATCATGACATCACTCAATCAGACTGTCATAGGGGGCAATGGAGTGATGGGAAACCAATACTATCAAAGTCTTTGCAGGGATGTATCATATATCTATAGTTCTCCATGTGCCAAATTCAAATATGTTTCATGCTCTGTTTGAATAGAACCATCTACACAGTCCTGTGTGTTTTGTGCAAAGAAAATAGACCATTGGTTTGTTCTTTCCCACAGCCCAAAAACTGCCATCCTGCCTCCGCTGGGCGTACCGAGCAGGAGATGCCACCCTATGCACCTCACCAATACTCTAGCTTCTGGATACTGGATTTACATCTAACCTGCTTATTTCCATTTCATCCCATATATTCCCCCACTGCGTTCTTGTCTGGTAGTCATGAACTTTATAAAGCCTACTTTTCCATTATATCAATAATACCGCACATACACACGTTCCTCCTCCCCTCAATACAAGACGTGATGCTTCAACTAAATTACGGACCTTGCTGCATAAATCAGTATTTTACTATCTGTCCTATAGATGGTGCCGGTGAACGTTGGTCCCACATGCCTGCTAGCATTTTCTTAAAAACAGAGACCTGACCGCTAAAAACTCCAAGAAAATCACAAGACATTTAGAAAACCATTGGAGAGGAGGAATGCCTCTGCATCGCACACGTAGGACAACTGATTGAGAGGTTTAGAATCCCAAAAAAATCCCATGAAATCTTGTTCGTCTAAACTTCTGTTAATGCAATAGAAAAGTTTTTAGAAGAGAACGCAATATTCGAATATGCGAGTCCATCTATTTATATAAAATCCATAGATATTCTATGTAATATTTATATTTCAGATTAATTCCCTCCGGTAGACTTGAGTAATCCAACTAAACTGTAGCTGAATGTAACAACTGCTAGTGACCAAAAGAAGGCAGTACCATACCTCCCGGCCTGCAGACAGTCTGCCACTAGTGTAGAGGAGCTGGTACTATAGGGATGAAAGACTCTCAGAGAGAATTTGATTCAAACAGCATGAAATGTATATCAAATAAAAATGTAATGCTATGGTATGTAGTGGTTATGGTGCCAGCAGTGTCTTAGAGCTGCGTTACGGTGAGATATCAAACCGTTTTAACACAGTTTGACAACTTACCCAGGTTGTGCCAGTACATTAGTAAATTATTCCTGTACTAAAATGGTTTAGTGGTTATGGTGCTGGGATTGATTTGGGCAGACTGTCTGGGCTGAATGGTTCTTATCTGCCGTCACATTCTATGCTTATATTGCTCCTACAACAATCGATCCAAATTAAGTAAATGTCATTATCTAGATGACCAATTTTTCAAAGTGATTTAATAATTTGTAGAATGTAAAATACAAATCTCTTATTTCTGGGGTCAAAGGTCTCCAATTTATTTTCGGCAGATTTCGTCTGAAGAATCATTGGGGGACCAGTGAAATGGCGTAGGTATCTAATTCTGAATGAAGGTGCCAAGCCAACAGGACATGATCACTACATGTCCTTTGGCATTTTTTTCCATCCACTATTTTAGTTTAAATGGCCAGAGAATCCCCAAAATAAAATGTTCCATTAATTCCAGTTTAACTCCTTACTTAGATTTGTACAAATTCCAAACGGTTACAAAACATTCCGCTTATCTTGAGGGCTAATGGTACAATTCTGATATTGAAAGGGTTAGAAAGCAGGGATTGTTTTGTCTTTTAAAATAAAGACTCATCAGGAGGGCTTGTTATCTGAAGGGTCTCTGGGGATTAGTCAGACAGACACCAAGCCATCTTTGGTATGAAATATTCAGCTTATCTCCAAGAGAGATACTCTTATAACCCCACTGCACTGGGAGCTATATTTACCCGGTAATGAGGCCTGAGGAGCCCTAGTAGGACTTCCTGGAAACAACAGTAAGACAAAGGTTAAAATATATATATATATATATATATATATATGTGTGTGAACACATAGCAGGAGGGCGATCATTTTTTATTTTATTTTCTCTCTCTCTCTCATCTATACTTGAAAGCTTGCTGATCAATAAAAAATATTTATTATTAGAATTTTCATAATTAAAAATAATAGGGGCATTATGTTCTAACTGGTACAATTAAGAGTTAATTTAAATAAACCAGATCCTCCAATTTCTTGATTAAAAAAAAAAAGAAAGAAAAAAATAAGGTATTTGGCTTTTATTCACACTTTATTGTCCTTACACTTTTTATTGAAATACTTTTTTACTTTTTTTTTTTTTTACAGTCACATATAACCGAATAAAGAAAATGTAAAAGGGGCTAAAGAATCAGTCTGGGCACCATAACCACTACAGTTGGCTGTATTGGTTATGGTCAGTCGTGCCCTTAGAAATAGTTTAATGGAAGAGCGATTTAAACATGTTGGGGGCCACCAAAATGACCTCAATTCTCTCAAATTCTTTCGATTATGTTTATTTATCTCTGTATTTAAGAAATATGTATTTGTGGGGTTTTTAGAAATAAAATTAACTGTAGAAATCCACACCTCTTTATTCTGTAAATGGCTGCCGCCATCTTAGCTCCCTGTCAGCCATTGTTATAAGCTCTGTCCCGCATCTGGAAGTCTGCAAACAGAGAGAAGATTGAAAAATACAACAATTTCTCCTTATTTGCAATGTGTGTCCTGGAAAAGCCTAGACTGCGTGAATTTTTTTTTTTAATGTAATTTGCTATTTTTTTTAAAATAATAAATTTGAAAGAAAACAGAGCATCTCATAAAAATCAAAGGGTTAAAGATAACACAAGTTTGAAGTTTTATTCAATGATATAAATTCAGTTCTCCTTTAAAGAATATTGCAGGGACCACGACTGTAATTGTTAAATAGAAAGATTTAAGTAAGGCATAGTAAAAGCATTGCGTGGTGGCTGTCTATTATATCATAATGTCCCTTATCTCATTGCCAACCACTGCACTAAATTGTCCCAACGCGCATTTCTCCCCTGGAAGAGCCATTACTTGGTGAAATCTTTCTTTTTAACCATTAGGTAGCAGTTGTCTAGTGGGGAGGGTGTTCTTCATTCGTTAGCTATTTGTTTTCTATGGGTATTTTTATACCTTACTTTGGGAGAAAGGAGGGTTTAGATATTTTTTAAGGGGTGCCCACGAAGGCACATTAGGTTATATCTATTTAGATCTATAGGCTATCTCCTACCTATATTACTGATTAATGTGGATGTGCATGGGCAAAAAATTTGGTTCGGCACTTCCAAAATTCAGGACTTTGGCAATTCGCCACTTCTGTTCGGCACTTCCGAAATTCGTCAATTCGGGACTTCCGCACTTTGGTTCGGCACTTCCGAAATTTAGGACTTCGGCAATTCCCTAACCTCTACTCCTAACCCTACCTCTAATCCTACTCCTAACCCTACCTCCAACCACTATGGGTAGTGTTGGGGATAGGGGTAGGGTTAGGGTTAGATTCCTGTCATTATTCCCGTAGTTTTTACTCCGTCTCTTGTTTTGCCAATTTTCAGAAATCCAAAGCACTTCCGAAATTTGGCAATTCAGTTCGGTTCGGCATTTCGGAAATTTGGACATTCGGAACCATCCGAATGTCCCAATTCCCGAAATTTGGCCGAATTTGCATTCGGAACGAAACAAATTGCACATGTCTACTGGTTGACTTCCTCCCCCGCTTTTGCTCTATTCAATCTGTCAATTACTTCTAGTTAGTACACCTTCCAACTTTTTCTATATTGTTATTACAACTGCTACATTTATTTCATTATTTAAGTGTTTCTTCACCCCCCATTTTTTGCAACCGAAGCAGCTAACTCTACAATTCTGCTTCGGTTGGCTAGGATGTTTTCTATTTGATTTATTATCTTTTTTCAATTCCTTTTTTTACCCCTGTTTTTCCAATATCATTATTTTCCTATTTATACCTATGATGCCTATGATGATTCTTATACCTATTTATACCTATGATGGATTTTAAATCCTGATGAAGGCTATTTAGTTTGCTATACAAGTCACACTCTATATATATTCTGAAACGCAATTTTAGACTGTATCCAATAAAGGTTATGTTTTACTAATTAATGTATTATTATTTTGGGTTGATTTCTATATTTGGGAAGGTTAGGGTTGTGTGGTATTAAAAATTGTCTACCTCTGAAGCTCCCTTCCTCTTCATTCTAATATTTATATTCTATTAGAGGTTACCCCACATCATATTAAGCAACCTAACGTCCTCTCCCTGGATATACAAATTTTGTACTTTAGTAAAAAAGAAGATAATTTATTTTTAGTATGGTTTGACAAGTTACCTCAATCTTTTAGGGGTCCTGTGGTCGCATACCCGACTTTTCTTCCCCAGCAGGAGAATCCAGGTAACTTTAAAGCTCAAAGCAGGGCCACAGTCCATGGGCGAGCACTTATCATGAGCCTCTCTCAGCCATTGCGTGTAGTCCTAGATTGGCTGTACTTTATTCTATGGAGACATCCAGCTCCTCCTGCTGAAGACTAACTGTCCCATCGGTGTCCAGGGGGACCATGTGGGTTGGTGTGACTATTTACCATGGGTTGTTTGCAGTGCAGTCCTAACAGTGGACTGTAATGATTATAGTGCTTGGAATGTTCCATTAATTATCAATATCACATTGTCCTCATAATCACACTCTTATCCTAGACCGGTTATGGGTGTGCTTCTTACTCGATTTTTAGGATCTTCATTTCCCACAATGCTCGTGAAAAATGTTTCTAGTTATCTAAAATAACCTCTTTAGTCAGCACTGCCCTATTCAATATGGATAGACAGAGCTAACACTGTTTGTCCAAAGTGAACACGTCATTAAGGACACATGACGGAAATATTCCGTCATGATTCCCTTTTATTCCAGAGGTTGTGTCCTTAAGGGGTTAATAGTTTTAATGTTTTGTCCCCTAGAAAGTGTCATCATTGCTCTATATGGTCACATTTCTATTTTAGAATAAATATGTTTTTTATTCAATGGTATTGGTGTCCTGGGGGGGGTTTGCTTTTTTTTTTTTTTTTGATGGAGGTGTTGCAGTGTCTGACTCTGAACTGCAGTCTGATCTATAGCTGCACACATACTTATTGTGGGGGCTTTCATGGCAAAGCCTGCCTCGATACCGTACAACAATTCAAAGAGGGGGGCACTTTTTTTATGGGAGATGGTTATCATGTTGTGGTTATTCTAGAGTATTTTATAAGACTTTATGACCTTTACTGTAACTGAAAGTAATTTAAAACAAGACCAAAGTGTTTTATTTATACGGTCCCATTCCTAAACACAGTTACTGCAGCTAAAATATGTATTTTTACTTATTTATTGAGTGATTTTACGCTGGGTCGCTCTGTTATACTCCCAAATTTCTAAACTCCCGCAAAAGAGGGACCAGAAGCATTTGAGTACCGTAGAGGGACACTTGTGAGGTATGACCCTCTGTAGACCATCTACATTGATATCCTTGTGGAGTCTGTAAAACCAATGATGGCATGTATGTTGTCTGTTGAATATTGCATTTCTAATTTTTAGAAATTTTTTTGTGCGCTGACATAGGCCTCGGTTTAATATTGTTGGATACGCTTTTCACATTATTTCATATTATGAAAAATATTAAATTTTTTATATATATATATATATATATTGATATATATATTTTTATTTTAATATTTTGGAAAAATAATTGTAAACGTTACTCCAAATATATTAAATAATTAGAAAAAACTCATTCAAAACTATTAGATTGAGGCCATACAGTGACCTGTAGTTGTGTGTGACACCGTAAGTTATAATTATATGAGTGTGTCTGTATATATTTAAACCATGTGTATGACTTTGGGAGATGTGTTTATGTCCATTGCACTGTGGTGTTGTAATTATGTAGGTGTGTGTGTCATTGTGTTAGTTGTGTGTGCCAATTGTGTTTTAGTTACTGTTAGTTTGTTTTGTGTTTTTTTTAAACGGATTTTGCCTCCTTTATTTTGAACACTGGCCCACAGACCATAGAAACACAACACTTTTTTTTTTACATTTTTTTTTTTTGTGAAATTTATTTGGTGAAAAATCACCAAGGGAAAAAAAATCCCAAATAATTTACAGCTGCACCAAACATTTCTTCATAGAAAGAAAAAGTGCGTTTTCCAGCATTTAAGGGTATTCACAGGTGAGACGTGTCTAGAAGACTGTTACAGGACATTCTGCATGATCGTACACAAATTATCTGACAGCTCGGGGAAACATGCAAAATGTATACCTTGTCCTGTAAAAAAAAAGAAAAAAAAGAGTTAAACACTTTTACCAATCCTACATCTCGCAAAATTTGCCACCTTGTTAGTACAAAAAGTGTTTGAGCAGTAATTTCATTTCTAACCCTCAGCTAGATTGCCGTGAAAAATATTACCAATTAAATAGAGAATTCAAAATGTCGGGTGTTAATTTAGTGATCGAATGTCGCCGCACTTGCAGGATCGCAGTGTCATTACAGCACCAACAGTTTATAAAGAGATACGTTACAGAAGTATACCCCATTTTATATTCCTGCATTGTCCAAGCACTGGGGGTACAGCATTCTACCATCTGATTCTCATGGATCCATGGACTATAGCTAATATATTTCTTAGCCATTTTGTCTGAGAATGACAGGATTTACACAATATTTAATCTGTACATAGTGTTAGAAGAATAACCAGTAAATGTACAGATTTTCTGTAAAAGCCATACAAAGATATCTCTTCTCCCCTCTCCTGTCAATCAGTACTGTAGTTGCTGTGATTGCGCTTCTAGAAATTGTGTCTCATGAAAAAATAAATTTATAATTTCTCATTTTGATAAATAATTTTTTTCACTGATTTAGGAGCTGTTATATAAGTCATGACAGCTTTGCCTTAAACAGTGTATTATTGATTGTGAAAATACTAGATAATAATACTAGATTAAGAGGCATTGATTTGACATTGGAGTTGGAAAAACTAGTAGTTATATTTGAAAATATTACTTTACAAAAGAGCATTAGATGCTCCGAATCACCTTTAATTCTGTAAAGTACTTAAATGATGCTTAAAGGAACACTATAGTCACCTAAATTACTTTAGCTAAATAAAGCAGTTTTAGTGTATAAATCATTCCCCTGCAATTTCACTGCTCAATTCACTGTCATTTAGGAGTTAAATCACTTTGTTTCTGTTTATGCAGCCCTAGCCACACCTCCCCTGGCTATGATTGACAGAGCCTGCATGGAAAAAAAACTGGTTTCACTTTCAAACAGATATAATTTACCTTAAATAATTGTATCTCAATCTCTAAATTGAACTTTAATCGCATACAGGAGGCTCTTGCAGGGTCTAGCAAGCTATTAACATAGCAGGGGATAAGAAAATCTTAATTAAACAGAACTTGCAATAAAGAAAGCCTAAATGGGGCTCTCTTTACAGGAAGTGTTTATGGAAGGTTGAGCAAGTCACATGCAGGGAGGTGTGACTAGGGTTCATAAACAAAGGGATTTAACTCCTAAATGGCAGGGGATTGAGCAGTGAGGCTGCAGGGGCAAGTTCTATACACCAAAACTGCTTCATTAAGGTAAAGTTGTTCAGGTGACTATAGTGTCCCTTTAAGATATTTTTATTAGGCAGTGCTGTAGAACAATTAATGAAATAAGTGAGATTATGGGCAAGTTGTTGTCTGTTGCCAAAGTCTGTATTCTGTAAAGTTTGTTCCGAGAAAACGAAGGTTGAGAATATAACTGGACACATACCGTACACATTTCATCCAGACATGATGTGCTTGATGAAGGCTAAAAGAAACCAGAAAAAAAGCTATTCATTTATGGTATAGCAGCATACTCCAACTTTTAATACAGACATATCAGGGTATTTACCGTAATGTGAATTGTTGAGAATGTCATACCACCCAACTGGCCTGGTTTTAGCAGGACTGTTTTGAATTTGAGCTCCTGTCTCGTTTTCCCAGATTTGGTCATTAGTGTCTGGTATCTGGGTACACCAGGGACTTCACGGTAGAGCAAGTACATGCAGGGATAGTGTGTTAAAAGGGCAGAAGGTTTTAATGTGTGAGCAAAGGGTTAAACTGAACTGGACTGCGGTGGGTGGGGAGAGGGTTAACCTGGGGTGAGGAGAGGGTGACATTGAACTGGAGAGGGTTACACTGTGCAGGTGAGAGGGTTACACTGGGGTGGAGAGAGCGTATCTCCCAAGTGTCCTTCATTACGAGGGACAGACCCTATTGTGGGCCCAAATCCCTCTTTCCTATCCTAATGTCCCTCTTTTTAGGAGCTCCATAGTATTGGTGTGTCTGAGTGTATAACAGATCTCCACAGCAATAATACTCCCAGTAATGTGTCTAAGTGTATAACGGAGCTCCACAGCAATAATACTCCCAGTAATGTGTCTGAGTGTATAACAGAACTCCACAGCAATAATACTCCCAGTAATGTGTCTAAGTGTATAACAGAGCTCCACAGCAATAATACTCCCAGTAATGTGTCTGAGTGTATAACAGAGCTCCACAGTAATAATATTCCCAGTAATGTGTCTGAGTATATAACAGAGCTCCACAGCAATAATACTCCCAGTAATGTGTCTGAGTGTATCACAGAGTTCCACAGCAATAATACTCCCAGTAATGTGTCTGAGTGTATCACAGAGCTCCACAGCAATAATACTCCCAGTAATGTGTCTTTAAATTACAGTAAATTTGTTTAGATATCAGTCTGTGTCAATACGATACATTGTTCTTGTTTTATATTACATTTTAGCTCTATAAATTGTTATTAGTAAGTCACCTAAAAAAAAACTGCCCTTCCCATGATAACACCCCCACTCACACCACTAAAATTAAAGTCTCCCTCTTTGTTCATTAAAAATGTTAGGGGGAAGGGGAAATGGTTACACTGGGGTGGAAGAAATTATAATTGGGTATTAATCGCATGATTACTATATAAGGGGCATAATCTGGGCAAGGACATTATATTTGACATAAAAGGATGAATTCTGAGGGTTAAAAAGAGCAAACAAAATTTAGCTGTTGCCTAGCAACCCGTGATGCCCCTGGTCAGCCACGTGCCATGGCAATACACGTGTAATTGAAACTGGATCCAGCGGGGACTTTCCATGACCTCTGTCTGTTGCACTTTGTGTGGCTATGTACACGTAACTTTTATAGTGTAAATTCCCGGACTGCATTGGTTGGTAAAAACGGGTCTAAGTGTCCTGGATTTAAAATTGCACAGATCACCTCCCTGTGTTCATGTTACAATGTATTTGATTTATGGTGCACTGAGAATGCATAAAAAATTAACACCTCCATGGAAATAAGAGATTTATGGAGTATTAGAAAACTGATAAGACTGTTAACCCATTCACATCTGAAGGAGACCTGTTTCTTAGTAAACCCAAACAGACAAAATTACGCCCTGCGCTCAAACTCCAGGGCGGCAGCAATGACCGTAGTACTCGTCAGCCCCAATACATGTCTCATTAGAGATTGTGCCTTTTAGCTCCAAGCAATGATATGAATTGTTAGTGTAGGACTCACCTAACAGGTTTTGCCTTGACGTGGCTTACACTTTAATGGTCATTGGAGTGATACTAAAAAACCTCCAGTTTAAAAGTGCGTAGAGATTTGAGATGGTGCGCAGGTAACTCCTTTTTTTTTTCTTGTTTCATTGTAATTCGCCATTCCTTCCACTAGTACTCAGAGGATTTAGCTTACTGAGTTTTTCATATAAATTGTGGAACAAAATGGGATTCTAAGGTTCAAGGCTGTTTTTGGTACTGGTTTTCATGGGGACTAGCCTTCCAGCTATGCAGGGGCACCACTGATTGGCTGAGAGTGGTCAGCTTTTCCAGTTCTCAGTTTAGTGAGTGTGACTTTGTGTAACAAAACAGTTGAGTGCTGTCAGATGGTGAGTGTGTGTGAATGAAGACATTGTCCAGAGCATACCTTCATAGTTAATGCATCCGTTGGCGTCTTCCTGCCCAGCCATGAGTTGCTCTACTTCGTTCTCCTGCAGCTTCTCACCTGTGTTTAAGTAACAATTGTCAAGAACATGGAAGTGGTTTCATCCATTGTAAAGTTCCTGTTTAGGAACTAATATTAATTTCAAAGGCAGTTTTACAATTTAAGGGGTCTTAAGGATAAACCATCTCAAACTGTGACAATGGATTTACATAATAAATTAAAACAAAGTTACACTATATATACATTCACTTTTATTTAATACATAGACATCATGTCCAGACAAGCATGGATTACACTTGCAGATATTTCTTTAAGACAAAGTTCAAAAGTCCATCCGATAAATGGGAGCCCTAAATTGCACCAAAAGTTGCATAAAATTGACGATGTTCCTTTCAACGTGGGATGATTTATCCACAAAAATTCAGAGTACAGGCCATATATCATAAGAACGCATTTTCTTCAATCCATCACTTACCCAAAGTGGCAAGGACATGGCGTAACTCTGCTCCCATTACAGTGCCGTTGCTTTCCTTGTCAAAGACACGTAGTCCTTCCACAAAGTCCTCAAAAGAGCCCTTGTCCTTGTTTTTAGAAATGTGCTGGAGCATTGGAAGAAAGGTCTCAAAGTCTACAAGTTTGGTGTTCATTTCTGCAGAAGGAGGCAAGAGAAAAGTTAAATAAAAACTAAATGAAAGTTTCAGGAAGACAAATTCCCAGTGGCTAGTAGTGAGAAAGAGGTACAAAAGGTTGTGGTCCAAACCATAAAAATTAGAAGATGGAATTTCAGGATGAAATGTATTTGGCCACTTCTCGGTGTGTTTTAAAAATAGAAACCCTATTTCTATTATTTTAAGATTATGAGTGATGGGCGATAACTGTGTGTGCTCACAATTCTATAGCATTATCACATACTATAATAGTATCACATTCCATGACTAAAAAAGGTTCTTCACTAGAGTTCGGCCTGCAGCATGCAATATACGGGATTAGGCAGTTGGCAGGCCCTAGTAATTAGGTCATCGAAATATCCAGTCTTAGAGGTGATCAGTTGAGCCCTCTGGGCTACTGAGATTTTCTGTGCCCTGGTATGGATTCCATGGGTGGATAACAACACACATACCAGGGCTTAGTAAAATGTCAGCCTTCATGTTTGCGACAAGTTTGGGAATGTGATGTTCCTTCCTGGCATTTGGACAGCAAAATGTTATCTTCAGATGTATCACAATTAGATGCTAAGGATCTCATGCCTCTTCCACTCTATAGGGAAACTCTTTGACATGTGTTTCAAGGACACAAGACATTCCATGGAGTGTCTACACGGCCGGAATAAAAGACGTGGCAAATGTAGTATCTACAATGTGTCTAAGTTGGCTACAATCCTACCCAACGCTGCTTTTGGTATAAAGGGCTGAATCTCTCTCGCAGAAATAGAATGAGCTTTGATGCCAGGTGTAAAAGGCCGAATGTTTGTACCAGACGGCAGCTATGTCGGGCTGAGCCAGAAAATCCCATGGCTCACAGATCATTTTCCTAAAGTAAGACTATTTATACAGGGGATTGTCTTGCCTGTGCTCTGTCTTCTATCTAAGACCGTTATCTGTTACCCTACAAGTCTGTAGTCTGTCTAGCTCACAGTATGCACAACGTGAAACAAACTGGGTTATTCAATAAAGTGAAAATAGTCAGGAATTCAAAGTGAATTTCGAGTTTAAGGACAAACTACCTGAAGTGGAAGCAGACCTGGAGAATTTTTCCGATTTGGCTATTTTGACCTTAAAGGAACATGATAGTCACAGAGGCCACCTCATCTTAATGAAGCGGTCTGGGTGAAGCGATCCTGCCATTTTAGAACATTGCAGTTTTTTGGAAACTGGAAGACAGTTACCAGAGGTACACTAACAGAGTAAAACATGGTCATGTGACACGGTAGTCCCTCATAGGAAAGAATTGATTAAATGCTTTCGTATGGGGAAGCCTGGATTCGCTTAGTGCTCGCTGCACTTGCTCGTCGGGTCCCTGATGCTTCTCAATATGTGCCATTAAAAATATTAACTTAAAGGTTTTCACTTACTTCATTCCAGCTAAGGGCCCTCTCATCGGTACTTACATCTCCTCCTCCCGCGATGAAATTGAGGAGGCCTGGCCTTCTTCGGCGTGATCCAATCCACTGCTCCTCATTGAGAGAGAGGGCTGGCGATACCATAAGGTGACACAGGTGGCCGCATTAGAGCGCACTTGCCCGAGAGGCACAGTGTCCAAGTGACCGGAAGGAGAGAAGCACACAACGCTCCTCTCCTGCCGGTCCGTTCATGTAGCATGGCCGATCTCCACCAGCACCTCCTTCCTGTATTCTGTCAGATTACTGGACCCATGAGAAATCTGGACTGCACCAGGCATGACGTGAGTCGAGATTTCTGACAGGGTCTGTACTCCAGACAAAACACCGTCAGGAGTCTGACTACGCATGTACAGCATAGGTCACAGCTAATGCCGCGTCACCAGACGTGACATGGCTGCATCGAACATGATGTGGGTCGAGATAGTGGAGGACAACTCAGAGATTGCCTCGATTGTCAAAAGCTCTAGCTATGCCAGTGTCTATTGAAATATTTTATAACCTTATTTGATAACCTCCCTAAACAAGAGGGGGTGGGGTGGGGTTGGTTCGGTATTAAAGAAAAAACACTTTTTGTCCTCCTATACAATGTGTAGATATTAGTTACAATTTCAAAGGTGCATATGACATGTTTGCATAGGCAGATGCACATTTGTGTGTTTTATAGCACACCCATACATTATTTTAGTATGACTGCACTGTGTACAAACACTTACAATTACAGACAAAAAGAAAATATGAGAATTGTAATCATCTTTGTAATGGTCAACAGTTTGCCTTTTCCAACCTTCTGAGATCTATTTACTAATCAGTGACTTGCTCTGACGTGAGAATTTGATTAAAGAATTTAGGACAAAATATAAAAAGTTTAATAAAATGTTGACAGACATTTTCAAGCCCGTTTCAGAACATATTTTAAGACATTCTTGCATTGTTACTGGACAGTCCTGGAACTGTCAGAGTATGTACTACTGCAGATGTACATGCCAACTGAGCTTGGCACTACAGATATTTCCGAATTACAGATCCTTTGATGATGTTGGTGTATCATGGTAAATGTAGTTGAGACATATGTGATGCCAAAGTTAAAACATTAATGATGTAGGTTCATGGATAGTATGTTAAAACAAGCACCCCTTTACATTTTGTAAACGGACTTCGTCAGAATTTGTTCAGGCTAACCTAAACATTCTCTTTGCGTTACTCTTTATGTTACCAGGAGACACATGCCAATCTTTTTTCATTATGTAAATAGCCGTCTTTTAAATTCACCAATTTATTCATTACAATCCATGTTGCATACTACATATTTCTTTAACTATTCTCCTAATTTCCTTTACCCAAATCAAAATTTAAAAAAACAATTACATTTTAAAAAATTCTGCTTGCTCTTGAGTTTTCAAAAAATAACGCAAACGTTTTGCCTCTTTCTTCCTTTTCCCCAAATTCTCACCTTCTGCTTTAGGTCTCCCTAAAACTCTTAGAACTTCTGCATTGGTTGGATTTTGTCCCAGGGCCCTCAGAACATCTCCAACTTGACCATAAGTGATCTTCATCTCTCCTCCCGGGGTACGATCAAACAGCTGGAAGGCCTCTTTGAATTCTGGGAATGAGAACATAAGATTTAGAACAATGAAGAATAACATTCTTGGCAACAAAACTAGGTGAAGAAAACCTTTTTTTGCCAGAATGGGACATCTGCATATTTCTTGTACTCCGCTCTGTTGAGCCATGCTGTCATGAAAGAGGCAATGTGTTCCATTTTGAAATACGATACTTAAAAACTATTGTCTTAATGGCATAGTCTATTATTTTTCCTTAAGGCGTTAAATAACGGCTTTTCTCTTATAAATTTAAACATCATACAACAAAAGTGACCCATCTCTACCATTTAAATATCAAGTCCCCAAAACGCCCTCTATAGCAGTTTGTCGGCATTTGTCAGGACAATAAGGCACCCTGGGTGTAACGTTACCGGAATATATCTTAAAGCTGGGCTATAATTATTTAATTGTTCCTCCCCCATTTCAAAGGGACATTCATTTCATTCCAGATACAATAATTAGTGGCCATATCCCCGGAGAAAAGACATGTTTAACAATCCACTGCCTTGGAGACTCATTAAGCTCAATGTCTTACTGAATTGTGAACTTGGAAAGTTATCCATACACCTGTTAACACTACAGTAAAACAAGAAACTGATATTCTCCAGACCTGTATGTTTAGCATGTCTTCTGACCTCTTTACTTGACATGCACGTATGCATGATTGACATGGCGTAATTCACATTTGAAAGCGTAAAAGGACTATTATATTCATGAATTAAGCAGGGAGTGCTTGGGTGATGATAGACTACTTTGGGTAATGAGTATTAGAGAACATTTGACACCCTCTTAGTCTTCTACATTCCCACTGGACCTCAATGGTTGCTTCCCATTAATTACCTCTTCTAGCTAGCCTTCATGGACTTCCATGGTCAGTTTGTCTGTTATACTATAAAATTAAATTTTAGACTTGTGCATATAACTTCATTCCAGTAGATCCTAACCCTGAGTCAGGATAATTGGGTTCTGGGGCTTGTCCAGTGTGTCCCTAATGACTGGAACAAGGTCATCACATTCTACAGACCGTTCCTACAATAGAACTATTACTATCACAGGACTAAGTGCAACATTGGAAAGAGTCATTTTATTTTATATAGCATTATAGTTGAACGGTGGATGACTGTGGTAAGTCAACCTTTCAAGAATGGGTCTTCAGGCCTTCAACCCACTGCAGTGCTCTAGGTAGCATCTGTGTATTTTATTACTCGGTTAGACTGGAAGAATACACAAGGAATGCTTTGCCTTGTAACACCTGAGTACGAATTTAGTTACGAATCATAGTTCCATGAAAAAAATTTTCTTTGGAATGGAGGGGTCAATTGATGTAGGAGGCTGCAGCTTGTGGCGCTGGGCAATACTGAAATGGCACATCCATAGTCCAACAGCAAAGAGCCCAAAGATCCCCATACTTAATACAATGAAGCTTCACTGTAGGGTATTTATATTGTGATAAGGTATCCAGATTAAGGACCAATCTTAATCCTGCTCAGTTTCTGCCATGCAGCTACCGGTAGATACAACAGTGTATTTGATTAGACCAGTAGACTGTGAGGTCTTCACGTTTTTGTTTGTTTTCCTACACTCCGTTTGCTACTATATTAAAACAGCATTACAATTATTAATAACTTTATTATGATCAAACTTGACCCTCGCCATGTCAAAATCTATAATTTACGGTATATAGAACGCAATGAAATGGGGATTTACCTTCAATCTGATCAGCACCGAACTCGATCTACAGAGAAATAAAAACAGTTATTTTTTAATAATAAATAAAAACTTATTTGTCTGCCCTTATTTCTATAAACTGTGGGATAGTTTTACCGATTAGTCAAACAGAGAGCTAGAATTATATTGTCTTTGTATGGGATACATTCTAAGTGTTCTACTATAAAAATACACTCAGTATTAATCGTTGGATCTCATGAACACGCAGTATTTGTGAGTGTTTGAGCACTGTAGTGGTTATGGTAGTGCTGTAAAATGGTGGTTGGGGTCTGGAGTAGCAACAACCCAAAATTTTACTTCAATGAGAGATTCAAGGGGCTAGATTAAATGATACAAAAAGTATAAACTTTCTAGAGTCTGTTTGGCCATATTCTATGCAATAAGAGCCCGAAGAAAATATTGGCCTACAAAGCTTCCACTCAAATACTACTTTCTGTGATTGTGACTATGTAGAACACTTGACATGTGACTTATCTTTCCCAGGACAGCCACTAGAGGTGGAGTTAACCCACAAAGGTAATGCAGTTTGTTAAAAACTGCAATAATTACCTTTGCTGGGATAAGGGAATTAAGAATATGCACCCAGACCACTTCAATGAGCTGAAGTGGTCTGGGTGCTTACAGTATCCTTTTAAGTAACCACTGCTACATGATCATGGTTATGTAGGCATCAGTACCGGGATGTTCTGTCATATCTTGGCACCTACTACTTGTTTCAAGAACTGCAGAAGGAAGGCTCTGTTGCTGGGTTCCCAGATTCCTACTCCCCAAGTCTACACACCAGTAAAGTCACCGTGCCCACAATCTGCCATCTGTTATGGTCTTCTAGTGAAGGCTATGCCAAGAGATACTTCAAAGCAACCAACAAGCAAGTCTTTCAGAGTTATTTACTAACATGAGATTCTCTTGGAATTCACTTTGTAGTCCTACTTTAATAAATAGCCTTGTTTGAGTTAATTGGATCTTTAAGTGGGTTCTGTGTGTAATAATTTGAGCTCCTTTAATCAAATAACTGAGTGATAATGAGAGAAGCCTTTTACATTTTCTTAGTGGTGGCTCTTGATAGCACTAGATTTGCGGGCTATCTTCTGCAAAGTTTACAATCAGGAGACATTTTCCTCTGGAATCTCTTCTCTGGTTCTTACACTCCCCTGGTATTTCTGCACCCAAATTCCCCAACATTTCTCCCATGTTATATTATGCCTACACCTAGATACTCCTGAGTTCCCACATGATATTTTTGCCCCTGTACACAGACTCTCCCCATCTAATACTGACACCAAGATCCTGCTTTTGTAATATATCCCCAATTCTCAGATTTTTTTCCCTTTTACTTACACCCAATTCTTCCCATCTAACTTTTTACTTACACCTCGACTCTCCCCATCGAACCTTTTACTTACACACTGATTCTCCCCATGTAACTTTTTTCTTACACCTTGATTCTCCCCATGTAACCTTTGACTTATACCGCGATTCTCCACACGTAACCTTTTATTTATACCCCCATTCTACCCACGTAGCTTTTACGTTACACCCACACTCTCCCCACATAACCTTTTACTTACCCCCTTCGAATTCCCAATTCTCCCCATGTAACCTTTTACTTACACCCCCATTCTCTTCTCATAATCTTTTACTTACACCCCGATTCTCCCCATGTAACATTTTACTCACACCCCAATTCTCCCCATGTACCTTTACTTACACCCCAATTCTCCCCATGTACCTTTTCTTTACACCCCCATCCTCCCCATGTACCTTTTACTTACACCCTGATTCTCCCCATGTAACCTTTTACTAAGACCGAGATTCTCCCCGTGTATTTTTCCCCTACACCCTGGTTTTACCAAAGTAATATTTTTTCCATGCTCCCAGATTCTTCACCATCTATTTTTTCCCTACACCCGATTCTCATGTAATATTTTCTCTTCCCTATTTAATCTTTTCCATACACCCAGATATAAACTCTATAATATTTCTCCGGTGCCTGATATTTACCCTTCTACACCCAGATATTTACCCTGTAATATTTCTCCGGTGCCTGATATTTACCCTTCTACACCCAGATATTTACCCTATATTATTTCTCCTTTGTCTAGAATTACTTTTTGAGATCTTTTAGCTTCCCATGACTCTGTCTATGTCTGTGCAGCTGTAAATTGAGCAATTAGTTGAACCTGTTCGGATGTAATTGGTGTCAATTGGTGACACGTTTTAGACTTGTAGACAGGCTATTTAAAATGAATGTGTTACTGTATGATACAAGCTGATAAACCCTCTTTTTATTTATATCTTAATTTGCTGACGGCTATGGGTCTTATTTGGTACGCACAAGAAATGTGGCAATACGACTGGGGAATTGCGATTTTTATTTACATTTAAATAGCTGAATTGTGAAACAAAAATCTCAAACTCTTTGCAGTTCCCTTGTCAGTTCTTTACAATTGCTGGTTTACTAAATATATTCCCTTTTCCATTTTATTTTTTATTTTTTAAAGGAACACTTCAAGTACCATAACCACTGTATGATTGCATTACCGGCCAATCTCGGACAGACATAGTTACATCGTTACATAGTTACATAGCTGAAAAGAGACTTGTGTCCATCAAGTTCAGCCTTCCTCACATATGTTGTTGCTGTTGATCCAAAAGAAGGCAAAAAACCTGGTCTGAAGCGCTTGCAATTTTGCCACAAACTAGGAAAAAATTCCTTCTTGACCCCAAAATAGCAGTCAGATATCTCCTTGGATCAAGTAGCTATTACCCCACTAATTAGAAATTATATCCCTGTATGTTATGTTTTTGTAAGTATTTATCCAATTGCTGTTTAAACATCTGTAGTGACTCTGATAAAACCACCTCTTCAGGCAGAGAATTCCATATCCTTATTGCTCTTACTGTAAAAAAAACTTATCTTTGCCTTAGATGAAATCTCCTTTCTTCCAGCCTAAATGTGTGACCATGTGTCCTATATATAGCCCTGTTTATGAATAGATTTCCAGATAATGGTTTGTACTGGCCCCGAATATATTTGTATACTGTTATCATATCCCCTCTCAGGTGCGGTTTTTCCAAACTAAACAGATTTAATCAAGTTAAGGTCCAGGAAAAAGAAGTTAAATAGCATCTTTATTTATTGTAATAACCTATCAATAGATTTATTTATATAAATGATAACAGCTTGACAAAAGTCTGATACCCAGATTTCTATGTAGGAATTGTTATAACCAAAATATTAAACTCAATTTTTGCAAGAACATACAGTAAGTGATAATGTCGGCTATAGTGTACAAATATAGAAGTGTACTTTTAAACTTTAAATTCACTTTGAATTCCTGACAAGTCTCCCTTTTGTAAATGACCTTTGTAATGCGGAGCGTATTTTATCATTAGGAAGTTTATGTAACATCCCAGTAGGCGATGACGGACAATGACATATGTGGCACGATGTACTCTCTGTTACAGGGATTTAAACAGGATTTGTTTTTTTGAAGGGCTTTACATTAATGTTTAGAGGCTGCGTGATATCACAGGAGAAGAATGTCTGCAGATGACAAACTGAATTTAATTTTAACTAAGTTCAATTTAATGACTTCTAGTAGAGTACTGTTAGTAAAATAAATAATAATTAAAATCAATGAAAAATATAAGTATTTTATATATAAGCAACCTAATGTATATATTGTCTAAATGTATTAATATGTCTTCTTATGATCTGTGTTCCCTTCGTTTAATGCTTTTCACAAAAAGTGTCAACTGTTTAAATATCCTTTGCTCATCAATGCTTTACTGACAAAGTTAAAGCCGCGACCCCCACACAAATTAATATTCTCTTGCCCAGATCTTCACCCATATACTTACTGTGACACTTTTGGGGTCAAATGGAACTTCTTTTGGGGGCTCTGGGGCTGGAGGTGCAGGAGCAGCGGCTGGCTTGGGGGCTTCCTTCTTGGGGTCTGGTTTCTTGGGAGGCATGGTGTGTGTTAGGTTGGGTGAGATGCAGAGAGAGAGAGGCACCAGGTGAAAGAACAGGGCAAGGGTGGTCACTGAGCCCTCTTATATTCAAGGAGTGGAATCTGCAATACTATAAAAGGAGTGACAGTAAGAGATGTCCCACTTGTCACCGTTGGTCCATTGTTATCTGACTGTGCCTCTGACTGCAAAACATTAACACCTTCACTGCCTGATGGCTGCCTACACTGAATACTTTAAGCTTACAATCTTTTCTCTAGGCATCATCGTTACCTCAGTACCTTTCTGTCATTCGCTGAAATTAGAGTGCAAGCTCTGTGTCTCAATATTCAAACAGTTGGATGTGCAGGTATCAATATGAATGTATGTTTTTTTTAAATCTATATTGGTAAATGATAGGTTTGATAAAACAAGCAGCGATAACATGGACCATTATCAATTTAAAACGCGCCAAAGACATAGCAGTAATCCTAAATAAATAATTACTAAATAAAATGTATCTTTTTTTTTTTCTACAAAGCAAACGGCTTATTGACAGAGGCTCACGTCTCACCCAACCCTGGGATTTGCAAATTGTAGAGAGACAGAGAAAGTAATGTCACAGTGAGTCATGCATTGTGGGATATAACGCCACTGAAGGCATCTGGGACATTATAATAAGACGAATAATCATAAATATCTCCAGAACTTTGACCCCATGTTTCCCTTAATTTATGTTTCTTTTATATTACATGTTTTTTTGGGGTTAAAGCAAGAGTAAAGTTTACTTTAAACGTAGGACAGCACCAGAGACCATATTTAAAAGAAGAAAAACTACCACAACAAGAGGATATAGTCTTAAATTAGAGGTGCAAAGGTTTAAAAATATTATCAGGAAGTATTACTTTACTGAGAGGGTAGTGGATGCATGGAATAGCCTTCCAGCTGAAGTGGTAGAGGTTAACACAGTAAAGGAGTTTAAGCATGCGTGGGATAGGCATAAGGCTATCCTAACTATAAGATAATGCTAGGGACTAATGAAAGTATTTAGAAATTTGGGCAGACTAGATGGGCTGAATGGTTCATATCTGCCGTCACATTCTATGTTTCTAAAACCGATAGCTTTGTGCCGCGTTTTGTCAAATTGTTTGACAATTCACTATTTTGGGAAATATACATACACAAGCTCGGTGGTGTAATTTAAACCCACCCAAAATACACAGCCTACCTCCCCGCAGTGATAGTGTGGGAGGGGGGGGGCACAGCTGCCTGTTTTAATGGTCTTGCATTGTCAAAATCCCAAGGTCATATTTTAGGAACAGCTGCGTCCATGGGACAGTGATATAAAAATAATAATATTGCGGCATTACAGAGACACTGGGGTGTATGAGCCGGCTTGCTGTGTTATATGGGGATAAAGTGTCTGATTATAGAGTTAGGGCACTGATGGAGTATAATAACCCTGGACAGACTAATCAAACAGTGCTAACCGTCCTTCTAATTGTAGGAATTGGAATCTCATTTTAAATGCATATTAACACTCAGATAAGAAACAATTGGGACGGATTCATCGGAATATTCTTGGCAGAAAAGGTTAGACATTTCAGAAGTGACCATCATAATGGCAAAGTTATAATATCGTCCCAAAAAAAGACTGCGGAGACATAACAGCACTTTAGAGATTTTTTGATATAGTTTGGGCTAGAATTAAATGTTTGTCTTGTTTGCTATTGTACAGCGCTGCAGAACATGTTGCCGCCATATAAACAATTATAATTGTAAATTTAAAATGACAAGCACCATTATGATGGGAGATATTGCAGTGTTTTTCATTACAGCTGTATTAGGGCGACTTAAGGATAGGGGCTTTTAGGTTAGGCTATGTCTGCATTCTTGCCTTGAAGATGTGGGGACTGTAACTTCTATCACTCTTAGCCACACTGGGAATTTTCCCATGATTCCATCTGAAACCACACGCAGAGAATCATGGAATGTTTGACAACTTTATTGGATATAATACAAGCTATTTTAATTCACTGTCAAAGTCTGCTTTTATTACGGTAGTTGCTTCTTAAGTGTCCCTATTTGGGAGGGACAGTCCCTATTCTGGGCCCAAATCCCTCTTTTTTGTCCTAATGTCCCTCTTTTTTAAGAGTTCCATATTGTTGGTGTGGCTGAGTGTATAACAGAGCTCCACAGCAATAATACTCCCAGTAATGTGTGTGAGTGTATAACAGAGCTCCACAGCAATAATACTCCCAGTAATGTGTGTGAGTGTATAACAGAGCTCCAAAGCAATAATACTCCCAGTAATGTGTCTGAGTGTATAACAGAGCTCCACAGCAAAAATACTCCCAGTAATGTGTGTGAATGTAAAACAGAGCTTCACAGCAATAATACTCCCAGTAATGTGTCTGAGTGTATAACAGAGCTCCACAGCAAAAATACTCCCAGTAATGTGTATGAGTGTATAACAGAGCTCCACAGCAATAATACTCCCAGTAATGTGTATGAGTGTATAACAGACCTCCACAGTAATAATACTCCCAGTAATGTGTCTGAGTGTATAACAGAGCTCCACAGCAATAATACTCCCAGTAATGTGTATGAGTGTATAACAGAGCTCCGCAGTAATAATACTCCCTGTAATGTGTCTGAGTGTATAACAGAGCTCCACAGCAATAATACTCCCTGTAATGTGTCTGAGTGTATAACAGAGCTCCACAGCAATAATACTCCCAGTAATGTGTCTGAGTGTATAACAGAGCTCCACAGCAATAATACTCCCAGTAATGTGTCTGAGTGTATAACAGAGCTCACAGCAATAATACTCCCAGTAATGTGTCTGAGTGTATAACAGAGCTCCACAGCAATAATACTCCCAGTAATGTGTCTGAGTGTATAACAGAGCTCCACAGCAATAATACTCCCAGTAATGTGTCTGAGTGTATAACAGAGCTCCACAGCAATAATACTCCCAGTAATGTGTCTGAGTGTATAACAGAGCTCCACAGCAATAATACTCCCAGTAATGTGTCTGAGTGTATAACAGAGCTCCACAGCAATAATACTCCCAGTAATGTGTCTGAGTGTATAACAGAGCTCCACAGCAATAATACTCCCAGTAATGTGTCTGAGTGTATGACAGAGCTCCACAGCAATAATACTCCCAGTAATGTGTCTGAGTGTATAACAGAGCTCCACAGTAATAATACTCCCAGTAATGTGTCTGAGTGTATAACAGAGCTCCACAGCAATTATACTCCCAGTAATGTGTCTGAGTGTATAACAGAGCTCCACAGCAATAATACTGCCAGTAATGTCTTTAAGCTGAAATAAATATGTTTAGAAATCAGTCAGTGTAAATAAGATAGATTGCTCTTGTTATAGATTACATTGTAGCTGTATAAATGATTAGCATCACCTAAACAGCCCAGCCCTGGCTACACCCCAAAACATACCCCTAAAATAAAAATGTCGCCCTGTCTATGTGAAATGTTGGGAAGTGTGGGCACGGAAGGACAATAAAGTCACATCATAGATCTCTGTAAGACTCAATTTTCAACATGGGATTTTGGTATGCTCTTTCCTAGAGACTAATTGGCGCAGGAGAGCAGTATGGGAGAGGATTTGTTTACAGACCAGCTTCTGTTTGACAAACACTGTTACCTGAGACAGAATGCGGCCTTTACGACATTTTTAATTAAGTTTAGTAATTGGTTCATAAACCTCATGCAAACAATGAGACAATCTGAGAAAGGGAAAGCGTCGTCTCCCCTAGTGAAAGGTTAAATGGGTGGCATCTGACCCCCTGCTGAACTATTTCTCGGCTATTTTGACCTCTGCTTGCAGGACATAGTTTAGAAAGCTGTTCCTTTCGTCCCCTTAAGATATCGCGTTGTCCTAAATGTTTCCAAATCCCAATCGGTATGTCTCTATTTTAACGTGGCGCATTATGCCTGAAAAGTGATCTGCCAACACAGTTCACTACCAACTCAAATGGTTACTTTAACCCCCCCAAAATATATATTTTAAGAAAATATTGGATTTGGTTGCAGTAACCCTGGTCTGCCATCCCCACCCCCACTTAATTATTATCTTTTTTTAAATAATAAAAAAACAAAAAAATGCTAAAACTCACCTTACATTCCAGCTCCGAGGTCAAATGGGTCCGAAAGTCAGGAAGGGCAGACTGAAGGGAGACGATGGGTGGCATAATGTGGGGGAGGGCTGTAGTTGGATGACATCAATTTTGCACAGAATTGATATTAGCCAGCCCCGAACTCTTATTTGAGGCTGGCTTATGATACCTAATGACTCTGCTGGAGGCAAAGTTACTCCACCACTGGGAGCAGAGCAGTTAATCTTGGTTAATATTGTTAAATATTGCACATACAGACTCCAGGCACCATAACTACTTCAGATCACTGATATGGGTATGGTGCTAGGAGTATACCTTTAATTATCACGAGAGAGTCCAACAATGGTCATATTCTGTATTTATAAAATAGACATTCAAGACCTTGTGAATACACAGATTCCAATTGCCTTGTACGAGGCTTCCTTTCTTAACTGCTACAGTGATTGATTGAACTCTCACCAAAAGTCCAGGTAAGTTGTCAAAATGTTTGAGAATCATTTGACTACTTGTCCTCGGAGTGTACCAGGGCATAACCACTACAAGGATCTGTAGTGGTTATGGTGCATTAATGAACCCTTATCAAAACATTTTTTAGCTGATCACACATTGGACTTCAAAAGTCCAATTTCCAAGTTAGCTCACCGCAATTCCCTAGTTTAGTAATATGCTTGTATTATTTAAGCCTAAATTTGCCATTCATATTACACTTTGCAATAATATGGTGTTACGTGAATAAAAGCTAAATTGATAATAGTGGCACCATCAAAAAATATGTTCAACTCCTAAATGTGGGTTGAGTCCTAAGCCAGTGAGCTGACAATCTGGCATTAGAGCTATTGACTAAACTGTGAATTGCAGGGTGTTTACTGCAAAAATCCTGAGAGAATGATTCTACTCACCAGAACAAATACGATAACCTGTAGGTGTTCTGGTGACTACAGTGTCCCTTTATAATCCACTTTTTAATTAACTATAAGTAAAAAAAAATCTCTGAAAATTCTGAAATAAATGAAAGATTCCCCCTTCTAAGGTTTTTCAGTAATATATTTTTTACTTGGTCTTATGAAAAATTTAAAAATATATAATCCCCAAAGAAATGTGCCCACTGACCGGTTTCCATGGTGACTGTCCAACATTTACCACTTTCTTTGCAAATCACAGCTCTCTGGGTAATTGTGGAGCAAAGTTCTAAAGGTGGAGCAGTCACCGTGGAAACTAACACAATGTTCCTGCTGATTACACAGCTTTAGATATTTGCTGTATAATAGATTCTTTTTTTATTGTTGTATTATGTATTATGTTTTGTGTTCTGTTTTTTTTTTGTTTTTTTAGGTGACATAACCATCTTACAGCATATCCTATATAACCTAAAGATCCGGTTTGACTGAATGTAATTTTTGTTTAAAAAACCCACTCTAAGTGATTTCATATAAAATTTAAACCACTGAATGTCTCAATTGGCCTCTACTCTCCGTGGCTGCACTTAATTGCAAATTGTTGTTTTGATCTAAACCCTTTTCATAGTTGAATACAGGCATTGCTTACTGAAAAGGTCTCTTGTGAACATTCAAACCTCATTGTGTAACTCAAAGTCTGATCTCCTGAGAAGAACGTCAGCTCTTCAACGTTACTCAGTCCGACCTCAATGGAATTCATGCCTGCTCGATTAGTAGACTCTATAGAATGTCTTGCACCCATCTCTCCCCCTATGTCCTACTAAGCTACCTTCAGCAAGCTGTCACGAGATCAGAAACTCTATTCCTGCTCGGAGAGGACAGCAAAGCTTCTATTTCTTAATCTTTAGGTGTTTTTAATTCTGACTTGTTGCTTCGCATGAAGGGCATGAGATTGACACGGAGATCTGAGCTGGGCTCCACTGGAGGTTGACTGGGTTGGGTGACTTGGGTTGGAGATAGTTTGCAAGATATCACACACTACAGGCAATGTAGTCACTAAGACAGGAAACCTTCACTGAGTGAAGCTTTTTAAAGAGCCACTATACTCACCCAAACAATGTTAGCTTAATCAACTAGTTTTTGTGTATAGATCATGCCTCTGCAGTCTCACTTCTCTGCCATTTAGGAGTTAAACCACGTTTGTGTCTGTATATCCAGCTCTAGTCACACCTCCCCTGGCTGTGATTTATACAGCCTGCATGGAAAAAAAAGCTTTACATTTTTTTGTCAGATGTTAACTTGCTTTAGACTTTTTTTTTTTTTTTTTATCTCCTGCTCTGTAAATTGACCTTTAATCACAGGAGACTCCTGCAAAGTCTAGCAGGTTATTAACAGTGCAGGAGATAAGAAAATCTAAATTAAATAGACAGTGCAATAAAGGACGTTTAAACATCCGGTCTTTCTTTACAGAAAGAGCTTATGAAACCATCTGATTTACCCTGCTTTTTCATTGGAACTGCTTCTGGTGATTAATTCTGCAGGATTAAAATGGGGGGAATACATGACACTCGGACCACTACAATGAGATGAAGTGGTCTTGGTGTCTACAGTGTCCCTTTTAGTGTTAAGACAATGGGTGACAATTTCTACACGACCATTGGATTTCATCATACACAAATTAAAGAATGCAGTATACATCTTCATGGGGGGCGGGGGGGAATCTATTGCTCCACTAGAGGTTTGTGGACTGCGTTGGTTGACTTGGGTTGGAGGTAGTTTGCGGAGATATCACACACTACAGGCAATCCCATGTAAGGATACCAAATTAGGGAGCGATCTACTAAACAGACGAAATTGCAAAATTAAGAAAAAGCCCTTTTTTATGAATTTTGCGCCTTCAGTTGCTTAGTTGATAAGTCCATAATTTGCTATCGTGGATTTGCTGAATTTTTTAAAATTAATTTTCGTTTGTAATGGATTCAGAAACCGGAAGGTCCCAAATTGCCAAATGTGTAAGAACTTGATAAATAACGATTTGCTATCTGTTTCTTTGAAAGAATCATGGGAGTTGTAGTTCAGCAACATCTGGGGCGCCGCAGGTTGGACAGCCCTGACCTAGACTAAAGTGTGTTCTCACATCATGAAATCATGCGTAAATGTCAATCAGCTCAAAAATACACTCAAGGATGGTTTTCGTCCTAAGTCGAGCATTGATATTAGTGATGCTTCTGGGCCACCCCCACAGAGCAAAGATAAGCCAAGAGATTTGCTAAAAAGCGATATTAACCGGTATGTGTATATATAAATATATATTACAAAATAATAATTAATTTTAATTAATAATAATAATACACACAGAGTCAGAACAGTATACATTCACTTTAAACATTTATATTTCATTATTAATTACAGTTGATTTACAATTTAAGTGGTCAAACATTTACATTCTCTTGACTGTTTGAAGATTCTGCCTAATGTTTTTGTAGATGAGAGAAAGCTGTTGTACTGCATTGAGAGCTCTACTGACACCTGCTGGTTAAGTAGTATTAAAACCTCAAATAAACTTCCTTAAAGGAACACTATAGTCACCTAAATTACTTTAGCTAAATAAAGCAGTTTTAGTGTATAGATCATTCCCCTGAGATTTCACTGCTCAATTCACTGTCATTTAGGAGTTAAATCACTTTGTTTCTGTTTATGCAGCCCTAGTCACACCTCCCCTGGATATGATTGACAGAGCCTGCATGAAAAAAAAAACTGGTTTCACTTTCAAACAGATATAATTTACCTTAAATAATTGTATCTCAATCTCTAAATTGAACTTTAATCACATACAGGAGGTTCTTGCAGGGTCTAGCAGGCTATTAACATAGCAGGGGATAAGAAAATCTTAATTAAACAGAACTTGCAATAAAGAAAGCCTAAATAGGGTTCTCTTTACAGGAAGTGTTTATGGAAGGCTGTTCAAGTCACATGCAGGGAGGTGTGACTAGGGTTCATAAACAAAGGGATTTAACTCCTAAATGGCAGAGGATTGAGCAGTGAGGCTGCAGGGGCATGTTCTATACACCAAAACGGCTTCATTAAGCTAAAGTTGTTCAGGTGACTATAGTGTCCCTTTAACAAAGTTTCATAATCTTTTATTTTTATAAATAAATGGTTTATGTGTGCATAGATGTAACTGGAAAATCTCATGTTTTGATTCAGAGTTTCAGGATAATTACTGCAATAAACAAGTTAATGAGAAGATCTCAGTATTACCCATTATTAGTGAATGGGCAGAATGTTAGGGTGAATGGGCAGGTAATGAATATTTAAGGGTGAATGGGCAGGTAATGAATATTTAAGGGTGATTGGGCAGATTCTCAGTATTTCCAGGTGAATGGGCAGATTCTCAACAGCTCCCGGTGGAATGTCCACATTCCCAATATATAAATGAATATTTCTGTGTTTTGTTTTTTGGGGCATTATTCTCAGTATCTATCAGTGAATGGGCAGATTCCAAGCATTCCATTGTTTTGGGGCAGATTCTGTGTGTCTCGGTGTCAATAGGCAGATTTGTAGTTTTGGGTCTACCCACAGCTCCACATATCTCATAAGCGAGAAATTCCAATCGAATTGCTTTGTAAAGTGATAGCAGCCCTGTAAGAGCGCCTGTAAATGTGAATTTACACTGTTTATTAAATAGGGCTATGTTCTGCTATCCAAAATGGATTACCATATTTTTTTTAATACAGGTCACAGTGTACATATACAGCCGCAAGCAGGTACAGTGGCAGTGGAAAGATCAGAGATCTCCCAGTGCAACAGCCCAATACGGGCTTCTATGGCAGCAGTGGAGTCTAGAAGACTCTAGTCTGCACATCTGCTGGGTGCAGACTGAGAGTGTTCCTCCCGTGAGCCCTGGCCATTCAGGGCCTTTCTGTCTCTGTCATTTACAGTGTGACTCCAGAAAGCTATGTATTATATCAGTTCCAAGTATTATCATAACACCCATACCTGGCTAAAGCTAAGAAGCAGGGAGGTGAGAACAAACTGAAATTAAATACAAAGATGTTTTGCTAGCACTATAGTGACCCATACAGCCCCCCGGCCTCACGCCCCACCCATCTTCCACCCCCATGGCTTGTTAGGCGGCGGGTGAACCTAATGCGAGGCTAGCACATTATGAGTATAATGCCCTCTATGGGGTTTTCTTATAGGGTTTTGGTTGACGTCCGATCTTCCAGTGTCAGGAGATAAAAAGTCACCTAACTAGAGGTGGAGTTGACCAAGGTAATTATTGCTGTTTATCGAAAATAATAATAATAATTTCAATTGCAGAGTTAAAGGGCCTGAGACACTGCACCCAGACCACGTCAATGAGCTGAAGTGCCTATAGTGTCCCTTTAAAGAAAAATAATACTAATTAAAAAAAATAAACTATTCCTCTCGGCCCTTCTCCCAACACACACAATATAGCCACTGTCCCAGACATGCACACCACTTCTTATACACACACTACAGCCACAAACTCACTACATCCCCTGTACACACACACAATATTCTGCATCTAACCTATCTGTGGGAACATTTGGCCTTACTTCATTAAACATTCTATCGACCAACTGCCTTACAAAAACGACTTAACATTTAGAGCACATTTCTGCATCCAGTATGATTGCATGACTCCCCTAAGTGATCTTCAAAATCATATTAAGGCCTGACCAATCCCTGAATAACTAAAGGATCACTGAAAGTAAAAAATGGGTTTACGAACATTCTTGGGCAACATTCTAAGTCGAGAGATCACACTGTGCAGCACTGAAACAGGAAGCACTTTGCGTGGCCATCTGAGTGACTGCAAGTGTTCCTAGACTGTAATGTAAACAATGCCTTTTCTCTGTAACGGCAGTGTTTACATTAAAAAGCCTGCAGAGACAGACTAAAGATACCAGAACAACTAAAATAAGCTGTAGTTGTCCTGGTGACTATAGTGTCCCTTAAAGTTTGATTAAGGTATGTTTTAGTAAATAATCTCTTATCCCTTTTCACTCAATGGGCTGAGGTCATAACATTTGGTTCTAGTGTGTGTGTAAGTATAGAAAATAAATATTTTTCCATAAACCCCACATTCTCTGAGCAGAGGGAACAAGGGGAGGGTACAATTCTCCCAGTGAGATAGGGAGGGTCCAGCTGGCTGTGTACTGTCATCCAGGGAAGTGTTAACCATGAGATTGGCTAAACACTGACTACTGAACGTACTGTAAGGATGAAGATGTCTGGACGGGCAGTGAAGCTATTTGTCACTGTGTGGGTTATACTTTCTCCTGTGTGGGCTGTGGTAAGTACTGAGCTCAGATAAAGTGGCAGTGCTCCAATAAATATTGAATATGTATGAGTATTTTAACAATGTGGAGGTTAGTAAAGGCATAGGAGATAGAAAAGACTTTGGCGGTTGGCATGATAGTATTTTTGATCTGTAGAGGAGGTAGTGGCTGTGAGAGATATGTGTGGTTAGTGCATTAATCTGCGATAGTTCTGTGTTTGGGGCACTGCAGAAGACTACAGTGTGGGCTGGGGTAGTTCTGTACAGCTCAGTACAGGTATAAGGGCAGAATGCGGTCTGGGGTAATTCTTTGTGACTCAGGCTGGGGTAGTTCCTTGCGGCTCAGTACAGGTATAAGGGCAGAATGCAGGCTGGGGTAATTCTGTGCGACTCAGGCTGGGGTAGTTTTGTATGGCTCAGTACAGGTATAAGAGCAGAATACAAGTTGGGGTAGTTCCATGCGGCTCAGTACAGGTATAAGGGCAGAATGTAGGCTGGGGTAGTTCCGTGCGGCTCAGTACAGGTATAAGGGCAGAATGCATGCTGGGGTAGTTCTGTGCGTCTCAGTACAGGTATAAGGGCAGAATGTAGGCTGGGGTAGTTCCGTGCGGCTCGGTACAGGTATAATGTAGGGTGGGGTAGTTCCGTGCGGCTCGGTACAGGTATAATGTAGGGTGGGGTAGTTCCGTGCGGCTCGGTACAGGTATAAGGGCAGAATGCAGGCTGGGGTATACTTGAATAACCGCAGTGAAGTGATAAATATTTACCTGATGGGCGCTGATTGCAAACTGTGACATTTATCTGTACAGTAAATATGGTAACATCTTTTAAAAGATTTTTGAAGTTTCCATCTGTCAATGATCTTTCCACTGTATTGACTATTTGACAGGAGAAATGGGGTAAAGTTCTTAACTATGTCAAAACTGCACATTGTAAGAGTTAGAGAGTTGTTCACCAAAGTGGGGATTTTCTCAGGAAATTAAAGTAAATTCAAAATATATATTTCTTTAATTCTTTATTTATAGGTTGACAATCAGATAGACACATAGATGAGAAAAGTGCAGGATGTCATACGTGCATACAACAAGAGGTAGTGGCGTATCACATTTACAGTTCAGAATCATAAATAAGAGATTATTAGATTAACAAAATGAATTTAAAATTTGAGACCAAAATATACAAACTAGAAACCTAGCTGAGTTGGAGCATTCTTCCAATTTGGCTTACTTTGGATGAAAATCTGAAATTCACTTTGAATTCCTGACAATTCGTGCTTGGGATATTATCCCACACACAGCCTGTGAATCCATGATTTCTCACAATTTATCCCCCTCCCTAGTGTTTACCCATACGTTTGCTCACACAAGTCCTGTATTGTTTCTCCCGTCTTATTTTTTTTTAGACTCTGTCTCTCTTACAGGCGTTTGCACAACTTAACCCATTTTCTGCCACTAGCATTTCAAAGTTATCTTTGTGGATATCATGCATTCGTTGTTCCAAAATGACCTGACAGAAGGAAGGGGTGGTTCTAGCAGAATGGTGTCAGAAGTGGCATTCACTTGTTGAACACAATCTGTCTGTAGCATATTGAAAGGAACTCAGAGTTTGGCTGAGTAATGGATATAAAATTATATATATATATACTAGTTAGGGACTATGCTGAGAAAACTATGCTGAGAAAACTTGGACTTATGACACTGTATGGCGTCTAGCAGTCACTACGGTGCTCATTTCTCATAATTTTATTTCACCAAATTATTTGTGTTTTTATTTTACTTTTCATCTACAAATGATGTAGCCTATTTCACTTATGGCTACTCTTACCACCCCAGGTGTTTTAGAATTACAATTTCACACAATTTCACACAAGGCTTACTAAGCATCACAGGGAATGTAGTTTAGAACTATTTTGAAAGATAGATCCAAACTTTATAGTCATGAGCATATTCATAGACTTGAAAATGATGCATCATAAGCCAACTTTTGAGGTAATTTCATTAAACAAAAAAAAAATATTTGTTACAGAAATCTTCTCATTCTTTCATTAAATTTGGTAAAATGGCATCTGCAGTTAAAAGAAGTGATAGAATGTGAATAAATATATATAATCTCATTAAAAACAACACAATGGTTTAATTACTCATTTATAATTATATATGTATAAAATGTTAATATTCATATTACTACTTCAGGCAAACATTACTGTAATGAGAGTTATTGTGACGATGAATCTGGGACAGAATGCTCACAAATTATACAGCTCTTTGTTTGGAAATCGTAGGTCGACTCTGATGATGTCATTACCCTGGATGAGCAAATATATATGGTGACACAAGCACAGCGTAACTGCCAGATGGGCATCAACGCTCAGATATTTGGAAAACAACGTGACCTAATGAATGGTTAGTACTGTCCCATTACTGTTCCATAGGAAGGACTTAACTCAACATCATGTCTTCTTTGATCTACAACTGAAGCCTTCATTATTGCTGATCATGATAATGATATTTCTAAGAGATTGAATCTTGGATGAATCTTGATGTTTTTGGTTACATTCAGAGGATGAACAGAAAAATGATACATGTTCCTAGTAACATGATATTCCAAGCAAGGATGCCAACCCTTAACAAGTCCACCTTCGAGGAGAGAAGGGAGAAGATATGGTTGGATCTTTAGATATGGATATGGTTGGATATGGTTGGGGTAGTAATCAGAAGTTAAAAGGATAGTCAAATATGTATATTTAAACCTTCTCTCCACAATAAACAATAATCTGGGTTGTATATATGGAAACTTTAGAAGACATAGATATTGCAGCTCTACTTAAAAAGTTACACTAAGCAACAAAACAACTTTAGCTTAATGAAGTGGTTTTGGTGTAAAGATCATGTCCCTGCTGAGTTATCTACCATTTAGGAGTTACATGGATTTGTTTATGCAGTCCTATCCACACCTTGCCTGGCTGTGACTCCTACAGCTTCCATGAAAATTGTCTAGTTTTCAATCTGCACAGTGTGTTTACTTAAGAAGTTATTGTCTCCTGCTCTTTTAATTGAACGTTATTCATACACAGGAGCCTGCTGCAGGCTATTAACAGAGAAGGAGATAAATTAAACACGCTGTGCAATAAAAAAAGCTTAAAAGGGACACTATAGGCATGAAGACCACGTTTTCTTATTGAAGTGGTCTGGGTGCAATGTCTGGCACTGTCCCTGTCCTCTTAACCCTACAAACTAAAACATTGCGGTTTTAGAGAAACTGCAATTTTTACATTGCGGTTAAGATTAAATCACTGTCTTCCAGACAGCCACTAGAGGTGCTTCCTGCTGTTTCATGGAGTTAACACCATAAAACGATGCTGGACGTCCCCGTGCTTTGCATGATAATGTCCAGCCAAGGCCGGACTGGGGATACAAAGCAGCCATGGTACAAAAATCATTGCCAGCCGTGCAGCACGGCATGGAAAAAAAAAGGTGAGTAAAAACACTATTTCTAAACACACACAGACACACACATACACCATGACAAACACACACATGTACCATAACAGATGACAGACACACACACACACATCTCATGACAGACACACACCATGACACACACACACCTTGACAGACACACACATACCATGACAGAAATACACACCTTGACAGACACACACATACCATGATAGATAGACAGACACACACATACAATGACAGACACACACACACCTTGACAGACACACACATACCATGACAGACACACACACCTCATGATAGACAGACCATGAGACAGACACGCACACACATGACACAGACAGACAGACATACACACACCCACCATGACACAGACAGACACACACATCATGACACACACACCATGACAGACACACCATGACACAGACAGACACACTCACACCATGACAGACACACACCATGACACACACACAAGCATACACATTGACACATAATTTGGCTACCTGTGAGCGACCGGTCGTGCAGGGCAGACAGCTGGGTCAGGTGTGCTGGAGGCCGCAGGGGGGAGCTGGCTCTTCTGGCGGTTGCAGGGGGAGCTGGCTGTGCTGTCTCTGCTCCCCCCTGCGGCCGCCAGTAGAGCCAGCTCCCTCCTGCGGCCGCCAGTAGAGCCAGCTCCCCCCCTGCGGCCCCAGAAGAGCCAGCTCCCACCTTCGGCCGCCAGTAGAGCCAGCTCCCCCCTGCGGCCGCCAGTAGAGCCAGCTCCCCCCTGCAGCCGCCAGTAGAGCCAGCTCACCCCTGCGGCCGCCAGTAGAGCCAGCTCACCCCTGCGGCCGCCAGAAGAGCCAGCTGTCTGGTGCCGCAGGTGCCGACCGCCCACCGGGAAATTTCCCGGTATCCCGGTGGGCCAGTCCGGCCCTGTGTCCAGCATCCTCTAAATCCTCATTGTAAAGTATTGAGTCAATGCTTTTCTATAGAGTGGGTCTTATGTGTGCTTTACTTGCCATTCATTCGCCTCAGGTTCCTCCTTGCAATAACGTTGGAGGAGACAGAGCCAGCACAGAGGGACCTCGGCACTGGAATAAGGCATGCTAAAAAAGTTTTTTAACCCTTTCATTGCTGCGGTGGGGTTATGTGGGGCAGAGGGACACTATAATATTAGGAATGCAGCTCTTTATATTTTTATTTATTTTTATAGGTAGGGGCATGATCTATACACAAAAAGAATTCATTTAGCTAAAGCTGCTTTCTTGTTTAGCTTTGTTTTGTGGTAATTAGAGTGTCTCTTTAAGCCATCTTACTGTAGCGGGTAAAAGTGTTCAAATTTCTCACTCCTTAATCTTTCACATTATATCACATGTGACCAACTGATTGAAATTGAAAACTGTCAACGGAAAGTCTTCTTTGCTAAAGATAAACAGTTGCTCTTCATCTCAAAGAAACCCTTTCAGTTTTGTCTCCATATATAGAGTCAATGATAAACTTTAGTCTTCCGCTGAAAAAAATTCAGAATTGCTGTAGGATGCTAGATTAAAAATCGTAGGCCGTACTTACCTGAAAACCAAACAAATCACAAGATGATCTACTTGATAATAGACTTTCGAAATAAATAAACCTTCTTCTCCATTATGTGAAGTATCTACCAGTCTGTAACATTGTGTCTTTTAGGATTGGGATGTCCTCCGGAGTGGGACGGCCTAATATGCTGGCCTCGAGGGGCCCCAAATCAACTGGTTTCTGTCCCTTGTCCAAAGCATATCTATGATTTCAATCACCAAGGTAACTCCCTGAATATGATCACAGGTTATTTTCCTCTGTTTTAGGTCTGGTAACTTCTCAGTGTTGGTCCATCTCTTTACTGCTTTTAGTATCTGCTGGAGTCCCACCTAGTTCCAACAGATCCTCCTTTGATTGTGTAAGGAAACCATGACCATTGTTAAGGGTAACTGGTGCCCTACTCACTGTTGATCCAATACTGTCATTTTTTTTACCTAGAAGTTCTGTGGACTGCATTGGTGAATGAGTGGAATTTTGAACCACAGCTGTCGAGTCAGCTTGTGTATTCACGATTTTACATAGTTACATCTACAGCTGCAGCCCCGCTCCAAACATGCACCTTGAGGGGGACACGCCCCCAACCATGGCATACTAAATCAACACGCTACCTGCAAAGTTACTCCTGTTGTGCTGAACGCTCCTGGAGAAAGTCTCGCACCCAGTCAGACTTTCTCCATTATAGATTCATTTTGTGTTCATACAGCGCAGCCCTTGCTCTTGCCCTCGCCAAACAGTCATACTTTTCCTCCATTATTAGTTCATGCTCCCACAATCCCTGGCGTCTCTTTGACACCTTTAACTCTCTTCTTCGCCCTGCTATAGCCACCCCTCAAACTAACCTTACAGCCGATAGCTTTGCATACTACTTTACTGACAAGATTGAACAGCTAAGGAAAGATTTCTCCCCTCCTTGCCGTTCTCTTTCTCAACCACACGTAGATCATGCCTTTCCTACCCTTCAGACTTTCTTCCCAGCTACTGAACAAGAGGTGGCTGCGCTTCTCCTTTCCTCTCACCCCACCACTTGCCCACTTGATCCTGTCCTATCTCACCTTATCAGATCTCTCTCCCCTTGTCTTGTGTCTTCCTTAACACACATCTTCAACTACTCTCTCTCTTCTGGCATTGTCCCTACTGACTTTAAATATGCCACTGTAGCACCTATCCTGATAAAAACATCTCATGACCGGTCCACCCCCTCTAACTATCGTCCCATATCCCTGCTCTCTTTTTCCTCAAAACTTCTGGAAAGACTTGTCTTTGCCCGTGTGTCTCACTTCCTCTATTCCAACTCTCTCCACTCTACTGAGACTGCTCTTATCAAAGCTACTAACTACCTATTTGCAGCTAAATCTAAAGGCCACTACTCTATACTAAATCTTCTTGACCTCTCTGTTGCCTTTGACACCGTTGATCATGCTCTCCTTCTTCAAACTCTTCAATCACTCGGTCTCTGTGACTCTGTCCTCTCGTGGTTTTCCTCTTATCCCTCCCAACGCTCATTCAGCATCTCCTTTTCTAATGACACCTCCTCCCCTCGTCCTGTCTCGGTTGGAGTCCCCCAAGTCTCTGTCCTTGGTCCCCTTCTATTTTCTCTTTATACTGCCTCTCTTGGCAAACTTATTACCTCTTTTGGATTCCACTACCACCTGTATGCTGATAACACCCAGATATATCTCTCCTCTCTGGACCTCTCCTCTGCTGTCCTGCAAGGTGTCCTGCTTGCCTATCTTCCATCTCTGACTGGATGTCCTCACGCTTTCTAAAACTCAGTCTCTCTAAAACTGAGCTCCTTGTCTTTCCTCCTCCTAATACTGATCCTCTTCTTTCGCTCTCCCTTCAAGTTAGTGGTATCCACTTAAGTCCATCCTTGCAAGCGTACTGCCTTGGCGTTATACTTGACTTTGGCTTCACCTTGGAGCCTCACATCCAGTATGTTGCCAAATCCTGTAGATTCCATCTTAAACACATAGCCCGCATCCGGCCCTTTCTTACACAAGATGCTACCAAGGAGCTTGTCCATTCTCTAGTAATTTCCTGCATGAATTATTGTAACCCTCTTCTAATTGGTCTCCCCAAAAGCCGTATTGCCCCTCTACAGTCTGTAATGAATGCTGCCGCCAGACTGATTTTCCTCTCTAGTCTGTCCTCTCACACCTCACCCCTATGTCAGTCCTTATATTTGCCTCCTGTATCCTATAGGAGTCAATTCAAAGTGCTAACCTATACCTATAAAGCACTTACCTGCTCCTGTCCGCTGCTCGCACCCGTAGGGCCAACTCGCGCTTGCAGGATTTCTCGCGGGTGGCTCCCTTCCTATGGAATAGCCTGTCTACCGCCATCAGACTCTCCCCTAGTCTTCAATCATTTAAGAAGTGCCTTAAAACCCATCTCTTTAGGAAAGCTTATGGCCTACCAGACTAACCTCTACCTCACATACCTGTCTCTTGCTCTCTCCTAAAGGGCAGCACTCTACTCTCTCCTCCAGCTCTGCTTCACTCCCACCTTATTTGATTGCTTTTTCCGTCCTATTGTGTTTTACACCCCACCTCCTATAAACTGTAAGCCCGTTTGAGCAGGGCCCTCTTCAACCTATCGCTCCTGTAAGTTTTCTTGTAATTGTCCTATTTATAGTTAAATCCCCCTTCTTGTAATATTGTAAAACGCTACAGAATCTGTTGACGCTATATAAACGTCGAGAATAATAATAATAATAATACAATACTGAAGAGAGATTTGCGTCCATCAAGTTCAGTTTTTCTCCTATTCGATTTTTGCTGTTGATCGAAAAGAAGGCAAAAAACCCAGTCTGAAGTGCTTCCAATTGTGCAACAAACTAGGAAAAATTCCTTCTTGATCCTTGGATCAAGAAGCTATTATGGCACTAATTAAAATTATATCCCTGTATATTTTGTTTTTGTATTTACCCAATGGCTGTTTAATTTTGTAACTATAAACATTTAATTTAGAGGTTTCTATCATATCTCTAGATATGGTCATTAGTGACATGCAGATCTTGCTTGGACTACAAGTAGCATATGCCTTCATATTATGTAAAATGTATATATTTTCTAAATTGTCTGAATCGAGGTTATATGGAGCATGTTAGATGTTGGATTGCAATCTTTAAAATCGTAAGCTTGCTGATGAAGCGGATCCAGAGGCTGATCTTGGGAGGCGCACTTGTAGATTATTTAAAGAAATAATCCACGCACTATAACCACTACAGCTCTGTGTAGTGATTATGGTGCCAGGAGTGCCGAGACCCCCTCCCAGAGTAAGTAGTCAAAAAGAACAGTTTGACAACTTACCTGGGATCTGCTGGGATCTGGAGCTGTAGTAGGGCATTGGAGCAGTGGTGCAATGTGTGAGGCGTCAGTATGTGTGAAGGGTGCAGTGTGAGTGTGTGTGTATGTGTGAAGAGTGCAGTGTGACTGCGGGGCAGTTGTGAGTGGTGCAGTTTGTGTGTGTGTGAGTGGTGCAGTGTGTGTGTGAAGGTTGCAGTGAGGGTTTGTGAGGGGACAGTGCATGTCAGGGGTGCAGTGTGTGTGTGGGGGGGCAGTGTATGTGTGTGTGTGAGCGGTATAGTGTGTGTGTGAGGCTTGCAGTGTATGTGTGTGTGAGGGGGCAATGTGTGTAGGGAGGCAGTGGGGGGTGTAGTATTTGACAACTTACCTGGGCTCTAAGGCTGTAGCAGTGCATAGGAGCAGTGGTGTGGGTGAGTGGTGCAATGTGGGTGAAGGGTGCAGTGTGAGTGTTGTAGTGTGTGTGAGGGGTGCAGTGTGTGTGTGTACGTGTGAAGAGTGCAGTGTGACGGTGGGGCAGTTGTGTGTGGGGTGTAGTGTGTGAGGGTTGCAGAGTGTGTGTGAGGAGGACTGTGTGTGAGCGGTACAATGTATGTGTGAAGGTTGCAGTGTGTGTTTGTCAGGGGGCAGTGTATGTCAGGAGTGCATAGTGTGTGTGTGTGTGGGGCAGTGTGGGTGTGAGAGTTGCAGTGTGTGTGAGCGGTGCAGTGTATGTGAAAGGGGGCAATGTGTGTAGGGAGGCATTGAGGGTGTAATGTGTGTGAGGGGTGGTGCAGTGTGCTTATGGTGGTGCAGTTTGTGTGTATGAGGGGCATTGTGTGTGAGTGAGGGGTACAGTGTGTGTGGGTAAGGGGTGCTGTGTGTGAGATGAGTGCAATTTGGGTGTATGTGGGGCATTGTTTGTGTGAGGGGTGCAGTATGCATGTATGGGGGTGCAGTATGCATGTATGGGGGGGCAGTGCTTGTGTGAGGGGTGCAGTATGTGTGTATGGGGGGCAGTTTGTTTGTGTGTTGGGCAGCTTATGTGTGTATAAGGGGCAATGTTTGTGTGTGTGAGGCAGTGTGTGTACATGAGAGGCCAATTGGCCCCCCTGGATCCGCCATTGCTTGCTGAGTACTGCAGCAGTTAGCAGTTTTGGTTCAAAAACATTTAAAGGGTCATAGATTGGCACTCCCAGTTTAAAACTTTTTGCTTTAATTATTGTGCATTGACTGGGAGTGCTAGAGCAAATATGGCCATTTTATCCATATTTAGGACATTCCTTAAATATCTAGAATGTGAGTGTAAGCCATTTGTCGGCTGTGAGTGTATGCCATGATCTTATTATCATTTCAGGCCTTGCCCATCGGAGATGTGGGGAATCAGGAACCTGGATTCAGGTGCCAGAACTTAACCGAGCGTGGGCCAACTATAGTGAGTGCTTGATGTTCAACAGCCCAGGGAAAAAGCTCCAAGACCAGGTATTACACATTATTGGGTTTCTTAAAATTCAGTTAAATGGATAAATCACCTTTGGTTCTTCCTGGTTCTTCGTGTGGTCAATGAGTTAGTTCCATCCTACTTTGTATATCACAAAGAATATTCTACAGAGTGCAAGACACTTGTCTGTCATCAATCTATAGCTCCCACACGTGGCCAGCTAAAAACAACTAACTTAAGTGATAAAACTGGTTTTTGTAGAACAAATTAGTCTAAACCAAAGATTTCTGGTGGTGCCATCTACAGGTTGTTCTATCAAGCACCAACTTGTCTTCGCTGCACACTCTCCAGTGGTTCTACATTGTACACATATACACATTGTTAATTCATGAAAGAAAAGAAGGGGAGCGGTCAGGATAGGGGTTTAGTGTAACACCCTTGTCCCGTCCATAACCTCATTCAAAAAGTCACTAGACTAAAGTAGGGGATGACCCTAGGGAATACAGTAAATATTAGAGAACCAAAGGTTCACATGAATAGAAAGTGACCACAAGATTACATTTCCAATCCACTGCAATAGATCTTAAAGGAGAAAATAATAATACAATAACAAAATAACTTTATAATAACTCTAAAAAGTACTGGAAAAATTAAACATGTAGCCTGATAGAGGGGGAACAGCCCTGACAGAGATCCTCAATAATAGATAGTCAATAATGAAGCATACCACACTAGTTCCAAACGGGACATCCACAGTCCACAGAATCTACACATCCCAGAATCTCACAAATCCACAAACAGACATCCACAAATACACAGACATCTACACATCCACAAACAGACATCCACACATCCACAAACAGACATCCACAAACAGACATCCACACACAGACATCCACACATCCACACACAGACATACAGACATCCACACACAGACATCCACACATCCACAGACATCCACACATCCACACACAGACATTCACACATCCACAAACAGACATCCACAAACAGACATCCACAAACAGACATCCACACATCCACAAACAGACATCCACACATCCACAAACAGACATCCACACATCCACAAACAGATATCCACAAATCCACAAACAGACATCCACAAATCTACAGACATCCACAAATCTACAGACATCCACAAATCTACAGACATCCACAAATCCACAAACAGACATCCACAAATCTACAGACATCCACAAATCCACAAACAGACATCCACACATCCACAAACAGACATCCACACATCCACAAACAGACATCCACACATCCACAAACAGACATACAGACATCCACAAACAGACATCCACAAATACACACACAGACATCCACACACAGACATCCACACACAGACATCCACACACAGACATCCACACATCCACAAACAGACATCCACACACAGACATCCACACACAGACATCCACACATCCACACACAGACATCCACACATCCACAAACAGACATCCACATCCACACATCCACAAACAGACATACATATATACAAATTAATAATATTATTAACTAATTAACATATCCCACCCACCCAGCATCCCTACCTTTCCCTGGGGTCAAGTGGGGCTGCAGTGAGGACGGCTCTCTCCCTGTCACACACGGAGAGGGAGCTGTGTGCTCTCTGCTCCCTCTCGCCGCGCGGGATGTCTGCTGATGCCGGGAGCCGGAATATGACGTCATCAACCCGGCTCCCAGCAACAGCAGACATCCCGCGCGGCGAGAGGGAGCAGAGAGCACACAGCTCCCTCTCCGCGTGTGACAGGGAGAGAGCCGTTCGCCAGGTGGCCCCCCCCGCCCATGACGGGGCCGTTCCCACGCGTTCCTGCAGGACTCGAGCCCTGAAACTACCGAACCAATAGATTCAGATGCACAAAATACTGCAGAAAAGCCAGAACATAGGAGAAAATACCGAACTAAGTCTATTTTCTTCACATTCTCTAACTCTGTCATAGTCATATCTGGGTTATTTTCCCTTCAAATAGCCATTCGCAATGACTTTGCAAAAAATATGAGTTTAGTGTGTCGCCCTGTAAACTGTGATGTTTTGCAGATTAATTTGAATGACAAAAAAATGTTCTGGAAATATTAGAAACACTCCATCCTCGGCAGCGCCATGTTGTACTTCAGCAGCTGGTGACTTAATTTGCTGTGGAAAAAAAGGGGTATTATTTGCTAAAGATCCAAAAAATAGCAATAAAGCAAAAAAAAGTATTAAAACTTTACTGAAATGTCCAGCTTCCACATCAGTTATGTGTAGCAAACTCACCCGGTCTTACTATACTAGCATGTAGCCAAATGTTGCAAAATACTGCCAACATTGTCTCACTACAAGAAACCATACAGTTATTATTTGCAACAAAGTTGATTTCAATAAATGAGGCAAACAGTGATTCTTCAACAACCAGTAAAATCCACTACATATCTAGGATGTATTATGATCCGTGCCAAAGCTGCATCTTAGGGCGTTTAGTAGATAACTCCCTGAATTGGTACCCTTGTGCGATAGTCATATTTCAGCGTACTAAATTAAGGAGCTTTTTACTTGATAGCTCCTTTTTGGTATGATTATGGCAATCCCACATGAATTAGTGAGCTATAAACTGAAAGACCAAAATTACAAAAAGCCCTTCCTTTTTGCAACTAATACTAAGTATATAACTAAATACTTATTAAAGGACCACTCTAGGCACCCAGACCACTACAGCTTAATGAAGTGGTCTGAGTGCCAGATCCAGCTAGGGTTAACCCATTTTTTTTATAAACATAGCAGTTTCAGAGAGACTGCTATGTTTATAAATGGGTTAATCCAGCCTCTAGTGGCTGTCTCTTGACAGCGGCTAGAGGCGCTTGCGTGCTTCTCACTGTGAAAATCATGTGAATCATTGTGAATGCTTTCCTATGGACTGGCTGAATGCGCGCACGGCTCCTGACACACACACACTCACTTCCAGACACACACACTTCCTGACACACACTCCACTTCCAGACACACACACACACACACTTCCACCCTTCCAGACACACACACACCCACTTCCACTATTCCAGACACACACACACACAAACTCCTTGTTGCTCCTGTTTTTGGAGTCCTCTGGGGTCCTCCCCGGGGTCCAGTGACTTCCTTCTCCCTCTGCTCCCTCACACAGTTTAGTGATGCGGGGCCGGAATGACGTCATATTCCAGCTCCCGGCATCACCAGAGAGGGCACGCCGCCGCCGCCTGCCTCCTTCCTTTCTCACGCAGCCGGTATATTGCTGCAGAGTAGGCCCTGTCATCTGGGACAAGCAGATACCTACTCTGCCTTGCTGCTGGGCTCCCTGTGACAGGCCATCGGCCTGCTGACGCGGCACCCCCCTCCTCCTGGCGCCCAGGACCGGCCCTGCAGTGGCCGTTTTTCAAATTACTTAGGGCGGCCTGGGGGGCAGTTGCCTCCCTGCCCCCCGGCCCAGTCCACCCCTGTGGAAGATCACACTAGGCTCTGTCGTTACCAGTGCTGTATATACTTCCATGAGGGCTTAAACACATAAAGGGGGAGATTGCTACCTTTCAGTTAGTTCTCGTACTGCCCATCCATACCCGTTTGGAACTAGTGTGGTATGCTTTTTACTGACTATCTATTATTGAGCATCTCACTCAGGGCTGTTCCCCCTCATATCAGGCTACACTGTTTAATTTAGTCCCAGTACTTTTTAGAGTTGCTAATAAAGTTATTTTGTTATTTATTATTGTGGGAGTGGATTGGAAATTTAACCTTGTGGTCACTTTTATTCAGTGACACCTTTGGTTCTCTACTATTTACATTGTTAATTCATATCACTCATTGTTTGCTATTAGGTTACCAGTCCACATTTTGTGCTCACGACTTTATAGCAAAGGTTATTTGAAAGATGATAATTTTATTTTTTAAATCTATTGCTCTTAATAAATCACCATTATTAATTTGTTGTCCCCATGGCTATACTAACTTAGATTTTGTTTCTGCAGAATGTCTTTGAGCGTCTCCGCGTGATCTACACTGTGGGATACTCCGCCTCCCTGGCTGCTTAATGTTGGCGCTGTTCATTCTCTGCTACTTCAAGTGAGACAATAAATTATGTTTAGTTACGTTTACTGGAGAGGATATTTTATGTAGCTACCAACATGGCTTTTTCATGGGATACTAGCCCACAGATAGGACAACTTTTAAAATCATAGTATACCAAGGTGCCAGAACCCTTTCCCCTTGGTATAAGAAATCAGACGTAAATATTGAGAATTCAAAGAATGGAATTCTCCCTTTCTCTGCCAAATTTGACTTTCATTTAAAAATTCCCCCTCTGTTCCCTTATAATGCATTTTACTCTGAGGATTGATCAGGGACTCCAGAGGAGCTGTCATCCCTATAATAACAAATGGGATTCTTGCGTGTGATATGATGCCCAAAAAAAAAAAAAAAAAACAGCAATAAAATAATAGCAACTCAAATGCTTTTATGAATTCACTGGAAAAATTATTACGATATTAATTTTAATAGTTTTTTACAGAGGTGAGGACTGCTTTTGCTATTCTTCCACATAACCTTTTCCTTTTCAAACTCTTCTGAAAGATGCTGTTGTTTTCTATAACGAAAATTTATGTGCTTGCCACAGCACAGAGAAGCTCCTTAGAGTCAGTCTTAGTTTAAAGCCACAAAACAACACTAGTGCTGCCATGCGGGAAAAGAAAATATCGGTAAGTATGGCATAAATTTTCTGTTTTTCCTGGATATATCCATGGCAGCACTACGTATGGGTTATACCCAAGCTGAAAGGCGTAAGGGAGGGAGAATAATAACCACAACGCATAAATCCATGCAACTACGGTTTATTGATCCATAAACTATAAGGCAGCAGAGAGGACACTTCTACCAAATTCTGTGGTAGATGAACGCGCTATATTCAACTGATAGTGATTGATAAACGTGTTGAAGGAGGACCGTGTTGCTGCCGAACAAATGCGATCCGCAGAAATGTTGGCTGCAGTTGCCCAAGAAGCGGCCAAGGATCTTGTAGAATGAGCTCTAAGGCCTTGAGGGACAGGAACTCCGGAGGCTGTGTAGGCCTGACTAATGGCTGAGATGATCCATCGGTCAATATGAGACGAAGAAGTGGCTTGACCCTTCTTGTAACCTGAAGGAATAATGAACAGTCTAGATGTCTTCCTTATGTCTGAAGTCCGGTTCAGGTATGTAGATAAACAGCGCACCAGATCCAAACGATGCCATTTCTCTTCTTCTTCCGATGAGGGATGAGCGAAAAAGGCTGGCAAAATGATGTCCTGATTCATATGGAAAGCAGAAACCACCTTGGGTCTGAAAGCTGGAATCATATGAAGGATCACGCGGTCTTCCTGAAGAATCAAAAAGGGAGACTCACAGGAGAGAGCGCTTAGCTCAGAGATTTTTCTACCTGAGGTCAAGGCAACCAACAGAACAATTTTCAAAGTAAGAGTAAGAATAGAAACTCTCTCCAAGGGCTCAAAGTCAGAATCAGATAAGGTCTGTAAAACCAGAGGTAAATCCCAAGGAGGGGAGCAAGACCGTACTGGAGGGCGAAGCTTGAGAATGGCTTGAAATAATCTAGCAATATCTGGATCAAATGCCAATTTCCGATCTAACAGAGCAGAGATCGCTGAAGTATGCACTTTTAGGGAGCTGAGACTCAAACTCTTGTCAAATCCGTCCTGGAAAAATTGAAGGACGTCACAGATACTGGGAGACAAAGGAGAAATATGTGCCAAACACCAGCTACAGAAGATGTCCCAAATATGATAGTAAGCCGATGAAGTGGATTTCTTCCTGGCATTCAGAAGAGTATAAATTACTGAAGAAGAGAAGCCTTTGCTGGAGAGACGTTGCTTCTCAATTTCCAAGCCCTTAAATTGAGAGACTGAGGAGATGGATGAGAGATCGGACCTTGTTGTAGGAGACTGAGTTGGTCTGGGAATTTCAGAGGAATGTCCTGAGAGAGTTTCTGCAGCAGGGGAAACCAAGGCAGCCTGTGCCAAAAGGGAATCACTGCCAGAATTGTCGCTTGCTCCTGCAGGATCCTTCTTAGCAGGGGGGAAATCAGACAAGTTGGGGGAAAAACATACCCCAGATGGATCTTCCACTCGCAACAGAGAGCATCCTGGTCTTCCGCCAAAGGGTCGAAGTAACGCGAGAAGAACCTTTCCACTTTGGGATTCTTCGCTGTGGCCATCAGAGCTACCTGAGGAAAACCCCACTTCTGGACTATGTTTTGGAATGCCAGAGGGGCTAACTCCCATTCTGTGGGATCCAGGGTTACTCGGCGTAAGAAATCCGCCACTTGATTGTTCTTTCCTGGAAGGTAAACTGCCTTGATCCCCTTCAAATTCTTCTCTGACCAGGACATAAGTGGGGTCAACACTTTCATTAAGCATTTGCTCTTTGTACCCCCTGATGATTGATGTAAGCAACTGTATTGTCTATCCTTACTCTCACCCAACTTTGTTTCAGACACGGAAAGAGCAGAAGAGCCTGGAAGACTGCTTGCAACTCTAAAACATTTGAGGATAGAGGATACTGTTTGTTTTCCCACTGCCCCTGAACATGAAGAAGGCCCAAATGAGCTCCCCAACCTGATTGGCATGCATCCGTCGTGAGAGTAACCCAAGGGATATCGTTCAGAGGATACCATTGATATAGATTCTCGCTCATCAGCCACCATGCCAGTTCCTTCTTCATCTCTGATGATAAAGAGGTTGCTTGATTCAGATCCTTGTTCGCAAACTGGGATAGAAACCCTTCTTGTGGAATCCTCATTTGCCACTTGACCCATCTCGTAAGGCCTATTGTAGAGGACAAACTTCCCAGAAGGCTCATAAATTCCTGGGCCGGGATGGAGTTCAGAGGCAGAAGACGAAGGATCTTTGATTGAATACGCCCCCTGTCCAAGGATAGGGAGACTTGTGACTGGATTGTGTCGAATCTTGCTCCTAAGTATATCATAACTTGAGAGGGGGAAAGATGACTCTTCTTGAGGTTTACCAACCATCCAAATTTTTTAAGAATTAAAAGAACCCGATCTCGATTAAGAAGGAGAATATCTCTGCTGTGTGAGAGATTCAAGATGTCGTCAAGATAATGGAATATTGAGATGCCTTCCAGATGGATATATGCTATTAAGACAACCAGGATCTTTGAGAAAGTCCTGGGAGCTGAGCTCAGGCCAAAGGGAAGGGCTCAAAACTGAAAATGCTGATGGTGAATCACAAATCTCAGGAACTTCTGGTGTGGTGGAGCAATAGGAACGTGAAAGTAAGCATCTGGAAGGTCTATGGAGATTAACCAGTCACCTGGGAAGATGACTTTTATAATGGAACTTACTGATTCCATCTTGAATTTTTTCACATACAGATTTTCGTTTAATTTGTGAAGGTCCAAAATCGGTCTCCATTCCCCTGATGCTTTCGGAGTGAGAAAAAGTCTGGAATAAACCCCCAATCCTCTTTCTTTTGCAGGAACAGGACATATAACTCCCTCTGCTGAAAGGGAAGAAACAAAAGACCGAATGGCCACTGCTTTCTCTGTTTCCATAGGCATGCTTGTAGACATGAACCGGGGATAAGGGATTGTCCAGAATCACACACACACACAGCACCCATACCACCCACACACAGCAAAAACACACCTACCACCACACACCACCCCTCTCCCCACAGCACAGCACCCAACACAGCAGGCTTACCCCAACATAACACAGCACCCCTACCACCCACACACAGCACAGCACCTCTCCACCACAGCACCCCTACCCCCCCCCCACACCCTGCACCACCCCACCACCCCCACAAAGCACAGCACCTCTCTCCCCCACAGCACAGCACCCTTACCTCTCCCCACAGCACAGCACCCTACCCCCACACACAGCACCTGTACCACCCACACACAGCACCTCTCCCCAGCACAGCACAGCACCCCTTACCTCTACCCCCACAGCACAGCACCCTACCCCCACACACAGCACTCCTCCCTCCACAGCACCCGACCACCCACACACAGCAACCCTCCCCCACAGCACAGCATCCCTACCCCCCACAGCACCCTTACCCCCCACACAGCACTCCTTCCCCCCCCACACACAGCACCCCTCAGACAGACACACACAGCACTCCACACCCTTACACACATACACTGCACCCTCAATGCAGTATGTGTGTGTGTATTCAGCAGTCTGTATGTGTGTGTATATTCAGCAGTCTGTATGTGTGTGTATTCAGCAGTGTATGTATTCAGCAGTCTGTGTGTGTGTACTCAGCAGTCTGTGTGTACTTAGCAGTGTGTGTACTCAGCAGACTGCGTGTATGTATTCAGCAGACTGTGTGTGTGTGTATTCAGCAGACTGTGTGTGTGTGTATTCAGCAGTGTATGTATTCAGCAGTGTATGTATTCAGCAGTCTGTGTGTGTGTACTCAGCAGTCTGTGTGTACTTAGCAGTGTGTGTACTCAGCAGACTGCGTGTATGTATTCAGCAGACTGTGTGTGTGTGTATTCAGCAGTGTATGTATTCAGCAGTGTATGTATTCAGCAGTCTGTGTGTACATTCAGCAGTCTGTCTGTATGTGTATTCAGCAGTCTGTCTGTGTGTATTTAGCGGACTGTGTGTGTATTTAGCAGGCTGTGTGTATGTATTTAGCGGCTGGTGTGTGTGTATGTATTTAGCAGTCTGTGTGAATGTGTTGCATTTGTTGGAGATACTAATAAATATAAGCTTCATTTTATCTATTTACATCATTATTTAAAATTTGTATCATTGAACTCTCTGTTGTGTTCTTCTTTTAAAACAAAAGTTGTTAATTAGTTCGGACAACTGTACGAGTTGTTTTTTCTAAACTTAAACCTCAGTATTGAGGTTTAATTGCCGTGTTGGCACTTTGAAGAAAAAAAAGTTGGCATGTATTGCGGTTTGGGCACTCGGGCTCAAAAAGGTTCGCCATCACTGATCTAGGGTTAACCCTGCAGCTGTAAACACAGCAGTTTCAGAGAAACTGCTATGTTTACATTAGGGTTAATCCAGCCTCTAGTGGCTGTTTCACTGACAGCCGCTAGAGGTGCTTCCGCGCTTCTCACTGTGATTTTCACAGTGAGAAGACGCTGCCGTCCATAGGAAAGCATTGAGAAATGCTTTCCTATGGACTGATTGAATGCCCGCGTCTCTTGTCGCGCATGCGCATTAGGGCGATTGACGTCGGAAGAAGGAGGAGATTCCTGAGCGCCGAGGGAGCCCGGCGCTGGAGAAAAGTAAGAGTTTAACCCCTTAACCCCTCTTGAGCCCAGCAGGAGGGGGGCCATGAGGGAGGGGGGGACCTAGTAACACTATAGTGCAAGGAAAACGAGTTTGTCCACTATAGTGGTCCTTTAAGACCTTATTGACAACAATTAATATATTCGTTATTTTGTGAACACTTAATTGTTGACGTAATTCACGTCTTATTAATACTATTGTAATCACTTAAATTTAAAATAATTGAATAGAGGAATTTGGGTTGAGTTTTTTAAAGGACCACTATAGGCACCCAAACCACTTCAGTTTAATGAAGTCATCTGGGTGCCAGGTCCCCCTGGTTGTAACCCTTCAGAGATACTGCTATGTTTACACTGCAGGGATAATCCAGCCTCTTGTGGCTGTCTCCCTGAGAGCCACTAGAGGCGCTTCCGCGATTTACACTGAGGAAATCACACTTATTTGCCGCTGGACGTCCTCATGGACCTCCAGCGTCAAAAAGATCCCCATAGGAAACGAGTAATGCTTTCCTATGTGTGCTTTCCTCTGGCCGCGCATGCGCATTCGGCTCCTCTCGGGAGCTGACGTCAATGGAGGAGGAGAGGTCACCAGTGCCGAGAGAGCTTGGCGCTGGATTAAGGCAAGCAAATAATTGGTTAATTAACCATTTATTCGCTGCGGAATGGGGCGGTGACTAGGGCTCTATTACGCAAGGAGTACATATTTGTATTCCTAACGCTATAGTGTTGCTTTAACCGTTCATTATATGCACAGTGATTTAAAGGAACACTATAGTCACCTAAATTACTTTAGCTAAATAAAGCAGTTTTAGTGTATAGATCATTCCCCTGCAATTTCACTGCTCAATTCACTGTCATTTAGGAGTTAAATCACTTTGTTTCTGTTTATGCAGCCCTAGCCACACCTCCCCTGGCTATGATTGACAGAGCCTGCATGAAAAAAAAACTGGTTTCACTTTCAAACAGATGTAATTTACCTTAAATAATTGTATCTCAATCTCTAAATTGAACTTTAATCACATACAGGAGGCTCTTGCAGGGTCTAGCAAGCTATTAACATAGCAGGGGATAAGAAAATCTTAATTAAACAGAACTTGCAATAAAGAAAGCCTAAATAGGGCTCTCTTTACAGGAAGTGTTTATGGAAGGTTGTGCAAGTCACATGCAGGGAGGTGTGACTAGGGTTCATAAACAAAGGGATTTAACTTCTAAATGGCAGGGGATTGAGCAGTGAGGCTGCAGGGACATGTTCTATACACCAAAACTGCTTCATTAAGTTAAAGTTGTTCAGGTGACTATAGTGTCCCTTTAAATGATTTCTTGAAATAGAAACCTATGAGATACAAATTACTTCTAAATGTTACATGTAACAGAAGTAGTCAGTTAGCAACTTATAACTATATCCCTTCATCATAAATTACCTATGTTTATAAATAGATATTCATCTACAGACCAATGCCCTCCTAGTCTAGTATTGGTCTGATTATGTTAAAAGTACTGCTGTCCTTAAATTTGCATTAAATTACTTGATTCACAGAATTCAGATTCTATGAACTAAGAACTGTTCAGAGGTAAATTTTCAATCGTAATGAAACTCTGTATGGAGTCACCATTGTGCTGATCTGCCTTTTCTTGGTGGTCGGCAGATTATTTTTTAAGCAAATATTATGTGCAAAGGGATTAAAAATATTGGTCGTATTATGTACAAAAGTTATTTATTCCTACATTTTAATTAAACTATTTGATTTACAGAATGACAGTTTATGTGAGTTTATCATTAGAACTTTGGAAGAATTGCTTGTGGCAATTTTCGAATTGAAAGAGGTTTTTAAAGAAACCACTGCTTAGATGAACTGCCTTTTTTGAGAGATCGGCAGTATGTAGTTTAAACTAATTCAGGACAAGCTTGTACTCTGCGTGTGGTCCTCTCTGTGCCTACAGGGTAATATACGCATTAATATTCCACACAGGAAAGCATTGAATCAATTCTTCCCTATGGGGCTTCCTTGTCACTTGACCAAGGTTGACTTAGTCTGGTCAATGGAAGGGCCTCTAGTGACTGTCATACTGACAGCCACTAAAGGTGGACTTAACCCTGCAATGTAAATATTGCGATTTCCATAAAAAAAAGAGGACAGGGACACTGCACCAAAACCACTTCACTGAGATAAAGTGGTCTGGCTGCCGTGCCCATGTCATGTAAAACATAGCAAGATTAAGGACACCTATTCCAGACAGCCACCAGGGGCGTTTTTGCTGCACGTAACCGAGTAAAACTTGGCGAAGTGATTTTGCAGCTCATAGGAAAGCACTGAATTCTGTGCCTTCCTATGACAAATCTGTGCATGCGCATCATCCTTTCTGAGCATCATTGGACTGAACCAGCGATGGTGAAAGTGTTACAGGAGGCAGAGAGGTGAGCAGCACCAGGGGCGCTGGATAAATGTAAGTAAAAAAAAAAAGCTATTTTAAAAATACTTTTACGACAAATGTGGGGTGGATGATGCATGCCCTGATTAGGGACAGGGACACTCTAGCGTTAGTAATACAGGTTTGTTTTCCTAATGCTACAGTGCTCCTTTAAGCAGTGTGGCTAGATAGAATTACATTGAATACCCGGTAATGCAGCATATTCTTGTTTCCAGCTATATTTTTATTTGACATATTGGCTCGCATAATTTGCAAGGTTTGTGCAGTTAGGTGGGCATATGGCTTCTATGGTGGAGTTTCTGGTTAGGAGTCGTTTTGCTTTGGGCTCAAGTTCCAGGTGATTCCGAAAGCTAAGAGCGCCCCCTGGTGTTTACTTAAATGTATTCATTTCCAATAAGGTACAAAAAACTTATTATTAAAGAAGTGCTTCTCAGACTGTGATCTGCTGTCCACTAGTGGCGTCTGGACCTTTTAAAGGGGAATCTTGTGATTGGCAAAACAGTAAAGCGTGGAAAGTGGTTCTTTTGTTTCAAACCTATTTGGTTTCTCAGACAGAAAATAAAAAAACACTGAGGAAGAGGCAGGATCATAGCAAGATGGCGGAACTCAGGGACACAATTGGTTTTGAGTTCTCTATCTGCTCTTGGCTACAGAGGTGGAAGGTCCAGGTGTCTTCTAGTTTGGCAGGGAACCAGCACAGCTGTAGACCCAGCAGTATGGCACAATTTGCTCTGTTCCATCTAGGCATGGTCCAGTGGTACATGGTGTATTTACTATCTCAATCTTCAAGTCTTCAAATTGAATATATAACATTTGGACCAAGCTTGGTGATCCTCCCACTAGACCAGTAAGGATTTACCAAACGATGTAGGACACCTTGGTCTCTGGGAAAGGGGGGTGCTGGACACAGAAGCACTGTTATGCCAATTCATATAGCCTTCCATTGCTGATCATACCCACAGGTTCTGACCACAATGTTATACAACATTAGTTTTTCCAAAAGTCTGTATTGTTTATGTGTAATGTTTGGCATGATGTATCTGCTGTGAATGTAATTTTTCCTACCTTTCACACACAGGTCTGCCAGCTGTGTTCGTATCTGTGTGGGCAAGTGTGAGAGTGTCTCTGGCAGATACACAGTATGTACAACACTCTATAATATACCTTTATAATCTAGCTGACAAATCATCTTGGGATCTGTATTAAAGGAACACTGTACACGCCATAAAGGCTTAATCTCATTAAAGTGGTTATAGTGTCTGGAGTCCCCTGGTGCCATTCTTCCATTTAGCATAAATACATATTTAATTTTAAACAAGAGTGCACAGTGGCACATCCCCTCTGTACTGCTTGGGTTAATGGGAAAGTACTGGCCTGAGCAGTAATGGGCGGCTGTGATTGGCTGAGAGCATCAGCTGACCACAGGCCACCTATCAAAGCATCAATTGCTGGTATGAATACAAGGAAGTGTGTAAACTCTGACTTAGCCACACCTCCAGTAGGGGTGGAGCTAGAGGTAGCCAAAGACCCTCATTCAGTGTTAACATGCTGGAAAATGGTTTAATACGATTGTACGTACACTGCCAGGGTACTCCAGACATTATAACCAATTAATTGTGATGAAAGGGTTATAGTACCTATAGAAATTTGTTTATTGAATAAATGTAATTACAAGGAATGCAGAGCAGAACTGTCCTCTAGCAACTCCCCGCACTAATTATACTAATACCAGGGTTTAACATTTTACCAAATATTTTTTTCTTCCTATTCAGGTGCTGGGATCTTAGCGCAGGCCACATGAAATTAATTTATCAGATGCCCATCCTGGCTGCCAATCTGGTATGTGAACATGTGACATTTCACAATGTGCATATGTCATAGGCGTGTGAGCGAAATTGGAAAAATAAATTCACTAACCCATCACAGTGTAAATATACTAATGGTAAATGAAGTTGTAGCGAATTACTCTAGATGTATGAGTTAATTCAAGTTGAAGCGTAACGGACAGGGCCGGACTGGCCCACCGGGATACCGGGAAATTTCCTGGTGGGTCGTCGGCACTTGGGGCCGGGCAGGCAGCCGGCTCACCTGCGGCCTTAGAGGGAGCACTTTCGGCGGCCGCAGGGTTTGCTGGCTGTTCTGTCTCTGCTCCCCCTCCCCAGCGCGCCGCTTAATGAGACCGGGGCCGGAATATGACGTCATATTCCGGCCCTGGTCTCTTTGTAGTGTGCTGGGGAGGGGGAGCAGAGACAGAACAGCCAGCTCCCCCTGTGGCCGCAAGAACAGCCAGCAAACCCTGCGGCCGCCAAAAGAGCTCCCTCTGTGGCCGCCAGAACAGCCAGCAAACCCTGCGGCTGCCATCAGAACTCCCCATGCCAGCACACAGGTAGAAATTATGTCACTGTGAGTGTATATGTGTGTGTGTCTGTCATGGTGTGTGTGTGTCTCTGTCTGTCATGGTGTCTGCATCAGTCTGTCATGGTGTGTGCGTCTGTCTGTCATGGTGTCTGCGTCTGTCTGTTTTTACTCACCTTTTTTTCCCCCACGTCGTGCTGGACTCCCCTCGACTGGCCCTGCCTCTACGGCTGAGATTATCAAGCTTGATGATCTCAGCCAATCCGCACTGACACAGGAAGCACCTCTAGTGACCGTCCGAGTGTCTATCACTAGGAAGCAATGTAAACACTGCATTTTCTCTAAAAAGTCAGTGTTTACATTGAAAAGCCTGCAGGGACAGGCTATAGACACCAGAGCCACTACATTAAGCTGTGTGTGTGTGCACACATGCTAGTGCGTGCGTGCGTGTGTTTCTGCTACTGAGTGAGCTTGTGTTTTTATGTCAATGACCTTATGTATATCAGTGAGATTGTTTGTCTATGAGGCTGTGTATCAATCAGCTTGTGTCAGTGAGATTGTCTGTGTCTGCATGTGAGTATGCTTACTTTATAATTAAAAATTTTACTCTGAAAGGACCAATATTTTATATTGGAAAAAGCAATATCTATATATATATATATATATATATCACTCAATCATCTAGGGTGGCAAGACATAGCCTTACATATTACACGCGACAATATATGGCGCAATGACTTATGGGGCTGGCATAGATTTTTTTTTTCCAGGGCTGCTTTGGAATCCCCAGTCCGGCCCTGGTAACGGAGCACACTGGTATTTAAAGAGCGTATCTAAATCTGAAAATTAAACTTTGGTTTGGTTAACTGCAACAAACACATTCTGTCCAGAGTGTCTTCTTTAAATCTACCTAAAACTTTTTAATGTTTTCTCTTTGGTTTTTATTTTCTATTTTGCCCTGTGAACCCCTTAAGGACCAAACTTCTGGAATAAAAGTGAATCATGACATGTCACACATGTCATGTGTCCTTAAGGGGTTAAAGGAACACTTAAAGTGCTGTAGTGGTTATGGTGCGAGGAGTGCCCTGGCACTCCCCACTGTTTGCAGAGCTTAGCTCATTTCTTCATACAAGAAAAGGAGAGGTTGCGAGTGGTGCCCAGCAGACTGTATGACACAGTGGTTATGGTGACTGTAGTTTGTGCTTAATTTACTCATGTGATAAAATTTTCACTTCTCCACATTTTCCAGTTTTGCGAAGATTTTTCTGACCAGTAACATTTTGCTCTTGAAGGTGAATTTTTTCCTGTTTCTGAACATTGTCAGAGTTTTGGCCTCCAAGCTATGGAAAACAAACACTGGGAAATTAGATCCGTGCCAGCAATATGGGTAAGTCACTAGCGTGCAGAGACCACCGCAGGTCAAAGTTGATTCAATATAGTGTTAGTTACTTCGACCCAATTAATATAATCCTTTAAGACTGACATTAACAGAGGAGAGCAAAATGTGAATACATCTCTCCACCGTTCCAAAATAATATTGTTACATGCCTACTATGGAAATACAGACTTGGACTTGTCCCTTTTTTAATATCTGTCCCTGTCTGTAATACTTTCTGTATTTACCATTGCCCATTTAAATGCCAAAATGGGTTACTTGTTGTAGGTTAAATACTGGCTCCGTAATATAGAGAGGCATACTAAAATTGGAGCGGACAGAAGAAATAGATTTAATGGTGACTGCTCCACTTTTAGTTCGTTGTCCTGGAATTCAATAAACAGGGATATTCAGTAAAGTGAGAATTGCTGGGACTCGAGTTATTTTTCAATATAAGAATTGGCCTCCAGTGGTGGCCCATCCATAGCGGCACTTGGGGGCCAGATAATTGTGAATTAAATAATAGTCAGTGGTAAAAGTGTAGGACTAGACATTTTCTTTTTTTCCTCGGGAGAGGGACCACTTCTAGCTTGCTATAAGCTTTTTACTTTAACTTTAAAATATGCAAATTTGCACTTTCACATATCTGGTAGCCAGCCACTCGAGGTGGAGTTAACCCTGCAAAGTAATTATTGTGGTGTCTCAATAAGGGGATAGGGGAACTGCACGCAGACCACTTCAATGAGATTAAAAGACCATTATAGTCACCCAGACCACTTCAGCTCAATGAGATTAAGTGGTCTGGGTGCCTATCGTGTACCTTTCAGTCAAGTGTCTTATTTTCACTTTATAAAGGTTCATGGTGTTGAAAACGCAGTGGTGATGTTCATTAGGTCGGGAGTGCAGAACTTGCAGTTAAAGGACCACTATAGTGCCAGGAAAACATACTCGTTTTCCTGGCACTACAGTGCCCTGAGGATGCCCCCACCCTCAGGGTCCCCCTCCCACCGTACTCTGGGGAGAGGAAGGGGTTAAACTTACCTCTTTCTCCAGTGTCGGGCGGGAGCTCTCCTCTTCGGCTGAATGCGCATGCGCGGTAGGAGCCGCGCGCGCATTCAGCCAGTCCATAGGAAAGCACTCACAATGCTTTCCTAGTGACGCTGGCGTCTTCTCACTGTGAAAAATCACAGTGAGAATCACGCAAGCGCCTCTAGCGGCTGTCAAGAGACAGCCACTAGAAGCTGGATTAACCCCAATATAAACATAGCAGTTTCTCTGAAACTGCTATGTTTATAAAAAAAAAAAAAAAGGGTTAACCCTAGCTGGACCTGGCACCCAGACCACTTCATTAAGCTGAAGTGGTCTGGGTGCCTAGAGTGGTCCTTTAAATAGGTCAAGATATGGAGTTTATGGAGGAGGAGGGGTTACAGTTCACAAAGGCTAGCTTATAGTCTTGTAATGTTGTATGTTGTTGCCATAGGAACCCCCTGCCCATTTCTGCAAATTTTGTCACCAACAAAAGTAACCTTTTTCACACTTGTTTATATATACCTGTGTTCTTGATATTTCAAGTTTTATTGGCTTTTTATAGGAAGCTCCTGAAGTCCACGCTGGTCCTTATGCCTCTTTTCGGGGTGCATTACGTTCTGTTCATGGCAATGCCTTATACGGAGGTTCAGGGGCTCCTCTGGCAGATACAAATGCATTACGAGATGTTCTTCAACTCCTCCCAGGTATACAACAGCAACATAACCACAGACGCGATGCATGATTGTGCACACCCCCATTCTATCTTATTGTACGGTTTCATATATCTTGGCTCATTGCTGCTGTAGTGGGCTTATGTTATTTACAATCTAATCACAGGGCAGATTATTTATAATATTCATATTCTATTGTGAAAGCATTATGTATAATATGCTTAGTATCTGCTCCTAAATACTACATAGATCACCAAAGTGCGTCCTCGTTTGCTTGTTATACCAGTGTTCTAAATGGGGTTCTAAATTGTATCGCTGACCCTTTGTTGTATGGATGAGGATTTCTGTGATTCTCAGACGCGGGAGGTGATTTATTTTGCTTTTTCAAACATATCTTTTCCTTTATCCTTCATTACGAAACCACCTACTACTCAATACATCTGAGGATAAGTTATATCTTTGTGAATAGTACTGGCAGAAAATAATTATATTTCAAGACAGTTACATACAAAAAGGGGATGGAGCGTGTACGGCGATGGAAAGCCACCACAGCTGTATCCAGTACTTAAGGATTCTTTAATCCTGCACTATAGATTAAAGTAGTCTGTCTATTTGTGCCCCGTTTCAAAGCATTGCATCACGACAAATCTAGATGCACAAGGCTTACTGCTGGAAACTTCTGCCATAATAGTCTATGTTGAGGCAGTCAATAAAAAATAACAACCACTGCTTGATCTATTCGATGGCCAGACCTGGAACTTCAGCTCCAATAGTCCCTACTTTAATCTAGCCCTGATAGGCTGTGGCACTTGGTCGTTTGGTACGAGTTCAAGGTGAAGTTGCCATTAGTTTTTTTTTAAATAATACATGAACAAAGACCAGACCTAGAGTGTTCTTTTAATTTATCTTCCTTATGTCCCAGAAGAATGGGCAGTAAAATTTAATTTTTATGCCAGCTCTAACTGCACACATATCTGCGGGGGGGAGGGGGGGAAGGGAGGGTGTGTAAGTTACTGAAGGGGTTTAAACCTGAACATTTCTATTTCCCCAGGGATTCTTTGTGGCGATTATCTACTGCTTCTGCAATGGGGAGGTGAGTGATAAAACGTATGATAAACTCAGAGCTGCTATTTTCATGTCCAATACACACACCTCCCTCTGCTGAGCTACAAGCTCAGAAATAGTATTGCATAATAGTCCTGCTACTTGCTGCCACTTCACATGTCTAACCCCATTCTTCAGGACCGGATGGTATGTATTCAATATAACACTAAACTGCAGTGAGCTGAAAGCCAAAATCGATCACAACTGGAAAAATTCTATAGCAGTCTATTTCTACTCTCCAGCACAGAATATGACTGGTGGAAGAACTGTACCAGCCGGGAGGCTGCCGAGTATTTCTGCCAGTTCACATTTGTTAGCTTGGTATGTTAGTACAGACTTATGTAACTGTGCTAGGTCTCCTGCTACTGCATTACTGTCATATAACATCTTTTTCACACCTCTGTGCTAAATTATGTAGCTATAGTTATCTAGCAGCACATAGCTATTACCCTGCGATCTAACAGAGCATGCCGCTGCTGCCTAACACCTATTGTCCAATCTATCAAAAGAACATCTCAGAAACCTTTCAATAAGCCTCACAGTTCTTGTCAGCTCTCTACAGCACATTCAGCAAAAAAAAAAAAAAAAACTGCCTAAAGAAGCATACATTTTGTTATCCTGTTCTCCTTCTAGGTACAGGCTGAAGTTCGCAAGTTCTGGTTTCGTAGGAGCTTGTCCGTGGACCTCAAACAAAAATCCCGTGTCACCAGTACAGGTGGCAGCTGTCACTACGGCGCCGTTTTATCTCACACCACGAACAGCGTCTGTCTGAGCATGGCGGCCAGAGGAAGACAGCTGTCAGCGCCAATCCATTCTACGTCCTACCTTCCAGGCTACATCACTAGCAGTCCTCCAACTGACAGCACTCCACAGCATGCCGGCATTAGTAGGGAAGGGCTTGAAACCCACACACCAACATGAGGAGCAACGTGCCAGGCTTAAACACTGCGTAAAGGACAGATGGATGGTATAAGAAGACAAACGTTGTCAGAACTCTGGAATTCAATGGAGCAGAGCACTTAAGAGGGAGCTCTTAAATACAGGACAAAAAGCATTTCTGAAATGGAAAGAAGAAAAACATTCTGTTGCATATTCTCTATAGATTCTGAACTTAAAGGGTCTTTTCAGACCCCTAAAGTACTGTAGCTTATCGAAGTACTTTAAGTGTGAAGAATGTGTTTGCTTTTTGATTTTGCATAAAGTGCTGATTGCAATACAATTGGCACTTTTATAAATGAACCTTGTTACACCCCCTGACTGTCAGACAACCGTCCTGTTACTTCCTGGTTTGGTTAGCTCAGTGGTGCTAAACTCAAGAGGCAGCAATTGCAAAGACTTCTCATTGAGCTGCATTGGAAAGTCTGTGATTGGACAGCCACAAAAAGTCTGGGCGGGGTTAAAAGGGGAGGGATTGCAAAGGTTTCATATAAGAGAACTGCAGCTTTTTGCAAGCTGTTTTAATTATAACCCCAATTAAAAAGTGCTCTTCTTCCTTCATTGGCTGAATGCGCATGCGTGGCAAGAGCCGCGCGTGCATTCAGCCAGTCTCATAGGAAAGCATTCTCAATGCTTTCCTATGGACGCTGGCGTCTTCTCACTGTGAAAATCACAGTGAGAAACGCAGAAGCGCCTCTAGCGGCTGTCAATGAAACCGTCACTAGAGGCTGGATTAACCCATAGGTAAACATAGCAGTTTCTCTGGTTAACCCTAGCTGGACCTGGCACCCAGACCACTTCATTGAGCTGAAGTGGTCTGGGTGCCTTTAGTGGTCCTTTAAGAATGATTTGATTCCTTACTTGGGGTCCACAAGACACAGTTCCCCTCTTCTCTTTACTACAGCTCAAAGAGAGCGATGAGGCCCCTGCTTAGGAGCTTTTGTTAGCTCTCCTGAGCCAAGCCAGCAGTGCAGGGTCAGCTGATCACTTTCAGCCAATGAGCAAAGCCCTGCAGAGGCAAACCCCAGGTAAAAAGCTAAGCCGTTCTAAAAGTGTTTTAATTACGTACATTGTGGGGGCAACAATAATACTATAATCACTACAGAACCTTGGAGTGGCCCTTTAATTTAAGAATGAGATGGGTAAATGTGCCTGCAGAAGTTAAGAGACAAGCAAATGTCAAAAGGACAAAGCAAATATGGAAAAAGGTGAGTGGATGAGGGAGGAGAAAATCAGGTAACACACAGCAACAACCCTAGAGTGTGCATCTATTAAAATCTAGAATTCTTTCTCTCTCCCTTTTGTAGAACTGGATAAGGGCAGTTATGGGGGATTGAAACAGTAGCAGCTACTCAGCCTTGGTTTGAAACATTTTGATCCCTGCTTGGAATTACGCTTTTGACATTTTATAAGGCCTTTGTTGGCAAAACAAAGTAAAAGTAAATCCATACACACTGTGCAAGAAGTTTTAAACTGGTAACACGACAAGAGACAACATCAAAACATGTTTTTTTAATCAGAAGCTCTGTCTATGAAATGAACAAGTTCTCACATGAGGGAGGGGAGGGGGGATAAAACTTGCTATGTACAGAAACATTTTCTAACACGCACATACACACAATATGGAGAGAGTGTCCAAGGAACAGCTGGAACTGAATAGCCCACATTGCAGGTTTCTAAGTGACTGCAGGATAAAACACTTAATGCAAAGCAATGAATGGATGTATTTTGCTGTACATGTAGAAGCACACGGATCTACTTGACCCCCACCCTCAAATCTGCGCAAGATAAGGACCAGTCCAGAGTGAATTTATGTTCTCTCAAATTAAAAACCGAAGTGTCAGGGATTGTGTCACCTCCAACAGTAAATTGAAGAGAAAAAAAAAAAAAAAGCAAACAAAATGAATCAAACAGAATTGAGTAAATTATGGCAAACCCATGATAAGATGGGCTAACTTAACTGTCCCATCGACTCTTCTTGCGCTTGGGAGGTTCTGGTATTGCAAAGCTTTCACTCTTTCCCTCTCTTTTCGATTCTCCGTCATCTCGTGGGCTCTCTCTCCTTCCCTCTCCTACTTCACGTGGGCTCCCTCTCCGTCCTTCATCTCTGGGACTCTCTCTCCGTCCTTCATCTCTGGGACTCTCTCTACGTCCTTCATCTCTGGGACTCTCTCTACGTCCTTCATCTCTGGGACTCTCTCTACGTCCTTCATCTCTGGGACTCTCTCTACGTCCTTCTCCACTGTCTCTTCTGCCACTTCCTCCTTCTCGAGAGCCTTCTCTTTTCCCCTCTCCTCCATTATAGCTCTCCCCATGCCGCCCACTGCTGGAGTGCCTATGTCCTCCATGCCTATGTGCCTCCCGGTCTCCATGCCGACCTCTACTATCACTAGACCTCTCACTTTCTTCGCGACTTCCACTTGCCCCTTCACCAGCACTATACCCACTTGTTGCAGGAAAGTTTGAGCTTCCTATGGAGGGGTAAGACATCGGGATGCTACTGAGGGTTCCACTGCTCGTAAATCCTGGCATGGTCCTAGGGGTGGGCGGTGGAGATGCTTCAGCTGGAGGTGCTAGAGGCTGTGGGTGCACATTCGGTATAGAGCTTAAGCTACCCGCACTGGTCCATGCTCCAGAATTAATTGTAGAAGTCCCAGTTTTCTGAGTGCTCAAACTGGCTGCTACAAAATGATTCTTGTACTGTGACTACAAAGGAGTAAAACAAAAAAATATATATTATTAAAATTGGGTTATAGTGTTTTTACTGCAGGGTCTGACCTCCTGTGCAATTCTATAACAAGTATACACCACTGCCCTCCCAGAAACTTGCATACAAGGGAAATGTGTTTTGTATTGCAGGGTAATGTCCTATACAGTAGAGATGCATAACTGTGCTTGTTCACAGACAGACATTGTAGAAACATAGAATGTGACAGCAGATAAGAACCATTCAGCCCATCTAGTCTGCCCAATTTTCTAAATACTTTCATTAGTCCCTAGCCTTATCTTATAGTTAGGATAGCCTTATGCCTATCCCACGCATGCTTAAACTCCTTCACTGTGTTAACCTCTACCACTTCAGCTGAATGGCTATTCCATGCATCCACTACCCTCTCAGTAAAGTAATACTTCCTGATATTATTTTTAAACCTTTGTCCCTCTAATTTAAGACAATGTCCTCTTGTTGTGGTAGTTTTTCTTCTTTTAAATATGGTCTCCTCCTTTACTGTGTTGATAGAAACATGTATTCAGGTGTCTTTCTAAAAAACCTGAACTTTTATTATTTACACATATATATGTAAATAATATATATTTCTGCTGTAAGCATGTCTGAAAAGGGGCATTCTATAATCTCTAAAACTTATATGTCCATTATTTCCATAAAATTGTACGTTTACATGGTTTCTGTTTTGGCTATCCAACAAACTCATTTTATCTCTAGTATGTGCCAACTCTGTCCCACGTTTGAAATAAATGTCAGGCCAATAGTTTCTAAATGAAAAGAACTCAATAGTGAACGGCTTTTTGTAACTTTCTTAGTAAATTATGTTGTTTTTTTAAATCAGCCTGTGATTATGAAACTACGTTGCCTTTTTAATGTTTGATGTTCATAGCAAATTGTCAGCTAACAATGCAACAGTTCCTGTATATTTTTTATTACCCATTCTTTCTTAACCCCTTAAGGACACATGACGGAAATATTTGTGTCCATAAGGGGTTAATACCACACACACACAAAAAAAAAAGAAGAACTTTTTTCCTGAGTATATCTCCCTATTTGCTAGTGTGGATGGAGCAAAATAGGGAGCAGACATGTCATCTTGCCTCGCAAAAAACAAAAACAGACCAGTGACAATAAATTATCCCCAAAGTCAGGACCCAAAATTTGGGTCACCATGCAATTTCAGTGGTTCCCCAACATACAGGGTCGTTATAGAGCCACATACTAACAGAACCCGCCCTGTAAAACTTGCCTTGACCTAATGCTTAAGCACTCTGAAGGTCTAATAATCAAGCCCTTACCTGAAACGCTGCCTTCATAGCAGACAGGCGATCACCCATTGCTCCTCCAGTAGGTTTAAATGCTTCATAGTTACTCATCACATTTCCTCCAGTAGCACGTTCCTAAGACAGAAGATATAGACGGTGGAAATTCCAGGTTTTAGCCATCATGGGTACATATCAAAGACCCATTCTCCCAAACACAGAACCTAAAAGATCTGTACTAGGAGTAAAAGTATCAAATTCCTCACCGAAGTCTCTGCACCTAGACCAGGTCTCTCTCGATAACCCAAGCCACCTCCACCAATGTTCAATTTCTTCCCCTTTCCAGCTTTGAAGCGAGATTTACGGAACCAGGAATTCTAGAGAAAATGAAGAAGTAATACCATTAAGTGCTATCTACAAAATACAAAGACCCCATAAAGTGTTCTCAGCGTATCTCTAATGGCCAGCCAACCTCTAACTACTGCAGTAATTTATTCTCTCTCTGACAAGGTTTTAATCGCTCGCCCAGTAGGTCATCAGCGACCCTATCCTTTTACCAATAGGACTAAAGTCACTATTACTCCCCAGTGTCACTATTAGCACTCTCCCTATAGGGCTACTATTGAAAGATTGTAATACGCAGCTAATGCATATATTGAGCAGTATTTAAAGTTTGTGTCTGGTGTCAGGGAGGGGGGACTGGCTTTCCCTGCAGATATCTTACACAAGCCTCTGATCATTAACGCCTGGAGTGCTGGCAGGGTAGACAGTCTCAGCACACTCCAGTGACAGATAAAGTAGGAGGGAGGGTGCGGAACAACACGCGATACTGAAAGCCTGAAGCTATCGACTCCCGGACAGTGCAGCACATTCTGCACTCGCATGGATTTCATTTAAACTCGCAAACTGCGAGGAGAGGATGCAAGCGGATATTTTGAGGCCTGAAATAGCGGTTGTGGTGCTTAAAGTGTTCCTTTAAGATAAGAATATTTCCCTTCTTGGATGAGGAGAGCCTATGACTTTGGACATATTGGATAAATTCCCTCCCAACCTTAAAAGGTAGGAATTCCCAAAATACAACACTTCCGTACACCTATACCTCTCAATCCCCTGCTCTAGGATAGTCTTCTCCTACAGTTCTGTTTCTGACCCTCATAGCGCAGACAGCAATAAGACTGCTTTTTTTATAAGCCTGAAGTTAAGAATGTGTTTCCCATTTATAATTGTAAAGTTGCAGAATATGTTGGAGCTATGTAAATGATAATAATAATAATAATAATAATAATAAGAGGGACTCTATGGGCACCAAAACCACTTCATCCCATTGAAGTGGTCTGAGTGTACTGTCCCTTTAAGACTATAATATAAAACATTGCAAGGTTAACACAGCCACTCAAGACACTTCAACGATTCACATGAAATTTAACTCCGTGAAACGTGCACACGCTTTGCACGAGGACATCCAGTGTCTTGAAAATCCCCATAGAAAAGCATTAAGGTTGCCCGATTGCACACATTGGAGGAGGAGGAGACTGAGACAGGACTTTGTTTTTAACCACTGCATGACTGGAGAGGGGGGATGGGTCATGAATGTACCGTGGTGTGAATCCCATTCTGTATGGTTGGACGTGAGCTCCAGGTTTATCCTCTCTGAGCACTCTCAGAGGAACCTTTGGTAACTGCTAAATTAAGTGTCAGGGCGCACCTTTGGCCAGGCCACCCTTGTATCCCGAAATCACCATATGCTCTTAATGAGTGACCCTCCTTATTCTTCCAACTTCTCCAGTCTGTAATATAAACAATTTGTAATCGTCAAACCATAACTACTCTTAAAATGTATACCTGCATGGCCAAATCCATCAGCTCCTTGGACACATACTGGTTAGCGCCTTCGAGGTTCCTCACTAAGTCACCAGCAAAATTGCTGTCCTTTGGAGTTAAAAGTGTGTAGGCAACACCTTTCTCACCCGCTCTTCCTGTACGACCAATACGGTGAGTGTGCGTGTCAATATCCCGTGCCACGTCATAGTTAACCACAGTCTTGATTGATGGAATGTCCAGACCACGGGCTGTTGGAGGAGGGAGAGGGATTATAACCACACACTTGATGTGAGCAGGTGTGGTCAGATCTAGTGCAAATCTACCAAGTGGAAAATGACATCAGTAGGTAATAAAATTAAATGTTCTGTAAATCATAATGATGCACCAGAAATAGAGCTCTGATAACTATCGACAGCAAGATAGTTTAATGGATTAAGCTCCAGGACCTACAAACAGCAAAAGAGATTCCTAGGGAAAACGGACCTTTCATTCTTCCGATATGGATAAATGGAGAATCATTAAAGGGATGCTGTATGCACCATAACCATTTCATCTCACTGAATTAGTTTCAGTGCTTGAATTCCTCTGACACGGTCTCGCCATTCAGTGCTAAACCATTTTCAAGCACTTTAGCACTGAATCAGGGGCCCTGGCCATCCACAACCTGGCCCTCGCTTTAGATAGGACTAGGGCAGAGATTACACACTTCCTTCTAACCAATTCATAAAAACAATGGGATGTGTGATAGGCTGAAAGCGGTCACATTAAACTCTGAGCCAATCAGAGCCACCCACTGCTGCTCTGGCTAATGATCCTTCAAGCAGCAAAGAGGGGATGGGCTGCTAGGGACTCTAGTTTACCATTAAAACATTAAAAACAGTTTTAACTCGGAACAGAAAGACGGCACCAGGGAATTCCAGACACAATAAGCACTTCAATGAGATGAAGCAGTTACAGTGCCTACAGTATCCTTTAAAGTTGGGCAACAACAATCTACAGACGCCAGGATGTAACAGAAATTTAATGAGTAATAAATGTACATTTCTTGATAAATAATTACGTTTTCTTTCACATATCTACAAGCATGATAGATCCCTTTCTTCATTCAAAGAGAACATTTTGCATTTTTACAATGTTGGAGTATACCTACCTGCTACGTCAGTAGCTACCAGTATAGGGATGTTTTTTTTCTTGTAGTCCGTGATAACTTTGTTTCGCTCGCTCTGGTCCATATCTCCATGAAGAAGGCCAAGTTGGTGGTCCTCCACTTTTAAATTAGCAGCAAGTTCCTCTGCATTGGCTTTTTTCGTGACAAAGAGAAGGACACTTCCAGTAGAGGTGAACTCAACCAGCCTACGTGTAAGCCAAGCCCACTTATCGGGTCCTGCTGGCAATATCTCCACCACTTGAGTGATATCTTCATTGGCCTGGATATTTGTGTGAAAGAGAAGCAAAGAGTAAGTGTGGCTAGTGGAAAATGGCCCAAAGAGATCAAGCTTGCTTGGTAAGAACATTAAGTTTGTCACAGAACAGTTTTAGAGCCTAAGACATATAGAGATAGTATTAATTGATCAGTGTCACATAAACAAGATTTATCATATATCAGGCATGAACAGTTAAAGGACCACTATAGGCACCCAGACCACTTCAGCTCAGTGAAGTGATCTGGGTGCCAGGTCCATCTAGGATTAACCCTGCCTGCTGTAAACATAGCAGTTTCAAAGAAACTGCTATGTTTACATATGGGTTAATCCATCCTCTAGTGGCTGTCTCACTGACAGTGGCTAGAGGCGCTTCCGCGCTTCTCACTGTGATTTTCACAGTGAGAAGATGCCAGCGTTCATAGGAAAGCATTGAGAATACTTTCCCAAGGACTGACTGACTGAACGTGCGGCTATTGCCGCGCATGCGGCGGAAGAGGGAGGAGAGTCCCCAGCGCTGGAGAAAGGTAAGTGATTTAACCCCTTCCTCTCACTTCAGCCCGGCGGGAGGGGGGCCACGACGGTGAGGGGGACCTATTAATACTATAGTGCCAGGAAAACGAGTTTATTTTCCTGGCACTATAGTGGTCCTTTAAAGATCAGACTAGGAATAGAATAAAAAAAATAAAAAAAACAGAAGGACCTAAATTTGTGGTATCTATAAATTTCATTCTGCGACCAAAAAAATAAAAAAATAAAAAGAAGTTGTGCAAATAGGAAACAGTAAAGTGAGAGGATAAGATGAGGGAAAAAAATAAAACAAGTAGGGGATGTGAATAAAATTAAACGGTTACCTCCCCAATATCTCCTTGAACGACACGGATCGGATCTATCAGAATATCTCTGGCCAGCTTCTCAATCTTCTTGCGGAAGGTGGCACTGAATAGGAGAGCTGTACAGGAGAAACAATAGGTAAGAATCTTAACAAGCGAAGTTCGGTTATATCTCCCAAATTTTGGGAAGAAATAAAAGGTTTATCATGAAAGTAAATCTGTTCAAAGCTTCAACTTACTCTGTCGATCAGGCCGTACATGGCTAGCTACAGATCGAACCTGGTATTCTGCAGAAGAGAAAAAAAAAAAAATGTGTGAGATTTGTAATGCGAAATTTGATAAAACACAGAATGTTACAAGCTCCAGTAAGTAGATTAATTCTGATTGAACCCAGCTTAATGTGGTGACATTGCTGTTAACCCTTTCCTGAACACTTTAGGTTTAGTAGAGTGGACGAACCTTTAATGTCATATCTTGGTTTGGTATATTAATAAAATATTAATAAGTGCATAGAATTATTACCAACATGTACAGTAAATGGGCAGTCATTGAACGGTGTAAGACCATCTTATTTAAGATAGAGCCTAAACTGGCAAATATTGCCCCCACCAAAGCTGTCAAGGTAGCCAAGGGTCACCTTTTTGGGGACAGTTTTATTAATGACTAAGGGAACTCTGTGGCAGCCTTCACGGCTCTGGATTAGGCCCAGTGCTCTTAGTGGTGGGCATTCCACAACCATGTCTCTACTAGTGCCGGCAGACCTGGAGCAGTCTGGCCAGCCGCAGTTTTACAGACTTGACACGTTCAGGCCAACTACATTTGTTATCTGAAATATTGCCCATGAAGCTCATCTGTTTACATTTGAGAACAGGGTAATGCACAAGACATTCAATAATTGCACTGAGGTTTCTGCTCTAGTGTAGGAACAATTCTTTACACAGACTCAGGAAGGTGACAGTTTCCCACCCAACATCTGCCCCTAGAAAGCAACTTACCAAAGCCCATGTCAAACATGCGATCGGCTTCGTCAAACACCAGGTAAGTGACCCGCTGGAGATTTGTTGCCTTCTTCTTCACATGGTCAATGAGACGCCCCTGCAGAAGCAGAAAGATGATCAAATAAAAACTGGCAAAAAAAATATCAATGCACATTTACATGATGTTAAAGCGGCACTGTCATGCCGTACTTACCTTTCCTCAATCTCTTCCTCTTCTCCCCCCTCTCTCAGGATCTGTTCTTTTTTCCTGTCTTCTTTTGTGGTCTTTAAAATCATAAGACAAAGTAGGGAGGATTCCTCCGCTTGACCAGCTCTGACCAGCGGAGGAGCAAAGTGTGCTTCATTTCCGCTGGTCAGAGCAATTTTCCCATAATTCTCACCTTTCCTCTGTGTTCCCGCGATGCTTCCTGTCATTTTAGACGAAACTGCCAAATTGCATTCTAACTGAATGAGAACAGTATGTTTGTTTCTTTTAGAACTCAATTCGGTACTTTGTTCGGATCGATCACCGATCCTATTCGTGCTGTGGCTGCATCTTGCAGCCACTTAGTAGATAGCTCCCTGATACCGTGGGAATTAGGGAGTTATCTACTAAAAGGCTGACCGACCTAAATTGGTCTTTCAGCCACATTTACTAATACTAAGTAAAAATTACTTAGTATTAGTAAATTCAGCCCCTACTCGCTATACTGCGAGTAGGGGCATGTCTAGTAAAAAAAAAACAAAAAAAAAACAAACAACAAAAACAAAACAAAACACTATTGGCCCCCACCCCTAAACGACAGGTGGGGGCCCTAAAGTAAAATAAGGGGGGAGACCTATTGTCCCCCCACCAGCCCCCACCCCTGCGCGGTGGGTGGGGGTCATAATGATAATGGGGGGAGGTCCTCCCTCCACCCGCCACCTGGAGGGGGGGGGGCCCGGAGGAGGGGGGGGAGCACAGTGGTTTCCCCAACTCATTATCATCATGGCCCCCACCCGCCACCCAAGGGTGGGGGGTAGGAGGGGACACACAATAGGTCTCCCCCCTTATTTTACTTTAGGACCGAGTAGGGGCATTGGTGAGATTTTAATCTCCCTTGTGCTATTATGGGGGTCATATTGACCCCCGTAGAGTGAAGGGGGACTGGGGGGCTTATGAAGTGGTGGGGAGCACTGCTCCCTGCCGCTTCTATCTTTACATATTACAAGGAAGGAGCTGCGTGCCGGTAGCTTCCTCCTTGTAATAAACTGAACGAACAGACTAACACTGATACACAGTGTTAGTTTGTTCGTCTGACATTTCTATTCATTTGTCTGTCTGATGAATGAATGAATAGATGAAATTCCCGTTCCCATGTCCAGGTGTTTCACTGGGCATGTGCAGGAATCTCAGTGCTATCTAGTGTGGGCAGATGACGTCCCACAGGGACTTCATCTAGCCACACAAAGATGGCGGCGCCCTGAATAAAGATCAGGGCAGAAAAGAATGATTAAAAAAAATAGGTAACGTGGGGGGCTTAGGGGCATTTGGGGGTGACTAGGGGGTCAATTGGAGATAGTGGAGGCGAAAGGGGGGTTTAAAAAAAAAAACAAAAAAAAAAAAAAAAAAACAGGATTCGGCATGACAGTGCTGCTTTAAACCACCCCTTACTCAATGCCCATTTACATGATGTTAAGCCACCCCTTACTCAATGCCCATTAGACAGCAGATTGAAGTTTGGATGTGTATATACTCACCGGTGTGCAGACTACAATCTCCGTTCCTTCCTGCAGAGCCTTTGCCTGCTCCCACATGCTGCCACCGCCATACACCGCAACAGAGCGCAAGTTATATGCCTTCCCAAACCGTTTGCATTCGTTGTGGATCTAAAACACATTATGAAGGCCAAAACAAGTTACACAGAGCAGATAGAAGCCAACTGGCTCATCTAACAAATAAACATTCTCGATCTGAAAACAAAGGGTTCATGGTCTTGTTTTCCTACTCATGGCAGCGATGTGACTACACTAAGCAACCTTCAACTCCTTTACAAAATTAGTCTAAATCACCTCTGCTGGAAAATGATTCAATGCATTCATTAATATTTTATAAATGTCAAACTTTGCCCGACCCCCACTAAGACAAAGAAAAATAATAATAATATGCATTCAATTAATTTCACTCATGCTTAAACCGTGCATACACTTTTTTTATGTGGAAAAGCAATGAGAGGCACAGGATGGTCTGACATCGCAGCCAGTTCCTGTTTTAAAGGACCACTATAGTGCCAGGAAAACATACTTGTTTTCCTGGCACTATAGTGCCCTGAGGGTGCCCCCACCCACCGGGCTGGATGGAGAGGAAGGGGTTAAACTTCCCTCTTTCTCCAGCGACGTGCGGGGAACTATCCTCCTCCTCTCTGCCTCCTCTCCTCCTCTTTGGCTGAATGCGCATGCGCGGCACGAGCCGCGCGCGCAGCCAGTCCATAGGAAAGCGTCTTCTCACTGCGGAAGCCCTCTAGTGGCTGTCAATGAGACAGCCACTAGAGGCTGGATTAACCCTATTATAAACATAGCAGTTTCTCTGAAACTGCTATGTTTACAGAAAAAAGGGTTAATCCTATCTGGACCTGGCACCCAGACCACTTCATTAAGCTGAAGTGGTCTGAGTGCCTATAGTGGTCCTTTAAGTATCAGTGCAGGAGAATAAGACCCTTTGGAAAGCATTTAATGCTTCGAGAATGCCATGTATTCTGTGATCAATATATGTACAAGGCAGAGATATAGTAATGAACTCTGTGCCAATGACATATTTCTATACACATACATGCACTAAACCATTCTTGTCCAGAATTGCTCCCTCTCTCATTACAGACATTTGCAGCACTTTACAGGAGAAAGTCATCTCTGGTTGGATTTTGCACATTGTTTTGGAAGAAGTATAATAAGATAAGCATGCAGTTATACCTGTTGACACAGCTCACGTGTGGGACATACAATGACGGCAATCGGTCCATCACCAGGCTGCAGTTCCTTTTGGTCCATAATGTGTACCAGCATCGGCCAGATATAAGCTGCTGTTTTACCACTTCCAGTTTTTGCAATGCCAATCATGTCACGTCCACTCAATGCCACGGGAATTCCCTATAAAATGTGAAAAAAATTAAAACAAACAAGGCAATGGAAAATATAGCAAAAAAATAAATAAATAAAAGTGCAGGAAAAAAAGAAAAAGCCTTACTCACCTGACACTGGATGGGGGTCGGTTGAGTGTACTCTGACTTCCGAATTTGATGCATCAATTGTTCATCAAATCCAAAGTGAGCAAAGCTGCTGGCAGTACGTGGTGGAGCTGCCCCAGAGACCTGTAGAGAGTTTATATTACAATGAGGCACAAGGGTACTTTGCATTTTCTGATGGCATTTCTCTGTAAACAAGTCAATTTAGCTTGTAAACTTGATCACCCAAATCAACTCAGCATCTCCCACCCCGGTAACAGGTCAGACTCTTTACTTACCCGCAGATTCAGTTTGTGGCGCAGTTCCACGATCTGCTGTGGAGTCTGGGAGGTGATTTCCTCGTGTTCCTCATAAAAGTTCTTCTCAAAAGGAGGATACTCGATCTGTGTAAGAAACAGAAGATTCAGCACATAACATAATAAAACCTACATGGGCACAGTAGATGCCCCTTACAGTTCCACTTTATAACTTGCTCTCACCAAGGTGTGGTCAATTGGAGGCAGAGGGTCAATAACACGCTTGGTTGTAGGAGCAATGGGATTGCCATCACTATCGTATTCAAGATTGTCTTCCTCCTCTTCTGGGATAAGTCCAGCTGTCGGATTCTCGGCCATGTATCTGAAATAGGCTTCCTGCGGAGGAACACATGAAGGATTGTGATGGGACACGGGATGCAGTACAAGCAGTAAAACCCAGCGTTATACAAACCACACACCAAATTAAGTTTCTACCCTAGCAACATTTCAAAGCATGAATAATGAAAGGGTTAAATGATAATGAAGCCCTTTGATTTCAAGCACAACCATAATAAAATTCAAAATGCATACCAAGTAATCTTATCCTGGGTGTTTAGGATCCCCTTTCACCTGTTAGTTATTTAAACCCAAACGGTGCTGCTTAACAATGAAAAATAACATGAAAGGAAAAAAAATAAATAAAAAGTAATATTCACTCACCCTCTATCCAAACACTTTACAGAGAACACACAGCAGAAACAGGGGGTGCTAGTGCTCCCCCCATCTTTTTTAATCCATTCACTAAAAACTCAAACACATATACTGCATCCTCCTTCTGATCATAAAGCCCACAGCATGGAACCTCCTCCAGTGCCCATGGCAGCAACCAGGAAGGTGGCTAGTTCTCAACCAATTAGCATTCTCCCATAGAGCTCTGTCTGAGAATTTAGGAGCAGGCACATTTTATATTACAGATGGGTGCAAGCTCCGTAATTTCTCAAATAAATTGAACAAGAAAGGCTTGAGAATTCACAAACACCAAGGTGCTGCTCATTCAGTTGAAAAAAAGATGTATAAGAAGTGATCGTGAAAGTGAATGAAACCACGTGAAAATGTTTTGGATTCTTGCAATTTGTTTTCCAGTTTCCTTCTATATGTATGCGAAGCAGCAACAAGGTATGTACAAAAATGAAGAAAAATGAAAGTAATAGGCTCCCACTAGGTGGCGCCTTGTACAGGTCTTATACCAAAATGGTGAGCTAATCACCAGCTTGCACAGACTACAGAGTGGGGCTTTAGAAACAGTGTGGTCCATGTGTGACTCATAGAGAAATATTCTGTTTAAGGATAAAGACAGAAACAAAACCTACCTGATCATCTTCTTCCTCAATGTCGTCTCGAATACCCCTGCAAGAAAAAGAGGAGAAAAAAAAACTTCCCTGCACGCAGTTCGGAAACCCAGCCATTTCATGTGATAACGACAGCCTGTTTTTTGTGCCAGAGTGTCAAGCTATAGACATTTTAGAACCAGTCTTCTGCACTCCCTCCACATACCCGGTGCTTAGCTGGACCTGAGGTTGTCTGTGCCTCGGACAATATTAGAAAAAAAAAAAACAAGATGGGCAGTATGCCAGTGTCTATAGCTTGATAAAGACCTCAGTTGAGGTCGAAACGTTTCAGTATTCTCCAATAAACCTGCCTGATTTGCACACCTTGACGGCCTGGACAATCTTGGTTTTTTGCTATAGACATTGGCATGCTGCCCAGGTGGTAGCTTTGGAGTCTGAGTAATCTACACAAATTATACGCAATAACTATTTAATGGAAAAAATGGCACCGTAAGCACAGCAAGGTCAGCAGAGCATCGCTAGATGTAGATGACAACTACATTTCCCAGATAAGCCAAAGATTCTGTTTCCAGCAAAAAAGGATTTTGGGTAGAGACATGCATATACACTGGACCCTCATCCAAAATTTTTAGATGTAATAAAATCACAGCAAACAGTAGGAGTGGAAAAACAGATTTGCAAACTTGACTGGCATATGACCATCTGTTGACCTTAATATATGCAAAACTTGAAAATGCATCTTAAAAATAAAAACTTTTTTTATTTTATTTTTTTAGTTAGAC